GAGACGTCCTGCAGCTCCCACCGGCTGCACATTGGCTACAGTAGCTAGTTGCTACGTGAATTATGGGTGTTGTAGTTTGAAGAAGAGAAGACAGCGCAAGTTGCAGCCACAAGGACAGGGAAAGCACAGGCAGCCACGAGAAGGAGTGATTTGCACATTGCAGTGCAGCCTCTTGTTCTAACTGTTCAAAACTGTTCTATAAACTGATACAGCTGTAATGAATGTACCAGGTGTCTTTTATTTTGTCAGCTTTTATTTTTTATTAAGTTTAAAGGACAAGTGCACTTACACCGATCACTTCCATGAAATAAAATGAGAAATTGGAAAAGAGGAAAATAATTTAGAAAATTGTTAAAATTAAATTAGGGAACTGATCACAGATGTGTTGTGTTAATATGCAGCTATGCTTTTAATGAAGCTGACATGTCATGACAGTCAAGCACCCCCTGGTGATCGAGACTGAAGGTTGCAGCACTCTTTATTGGGACTAATCTCAAAAACAATAGAATGTAATGGCTAGGTGTACTGCATCTGTGTTCAAGTGTGTTATTGTTGAAAACAATAAATATGACTATGAAACCACTTTAAAATTCTGCCATTTGAGGATCCTTCCTTGACTTTGAGAAACACCCAGAGTCTTTGCAGATCTCTGAAGTATCAAGCTCCTGCAATCTGACCCAAACACAAGCAGAGCCACTGATCATGAGCACACTGACTGGCTCACACAGCTGTCAATCATGATGTAAACCCCTTTTTAGAGCATCAAATAACTTCTAACTTTTAATTAAACCTCAGGCTGTCAAACATTCCCACTTTAAGGGTAAGGCCTTTCCAGAATGCAAGATGGCAGCAGGCAGGCAGGGCTGGTGTGTTGGCTCTCATCCACACATTCATCACAAACTTTTGTGGTACTGGAGCTCCATGTGAACACAACTTGTTGACCAGCCAAAGCAACGCTGCACATAAACACTTTGGAGTGACTCAAAGTGATCTGTTCAGTACTTTCATCAGACCAGGTATAGAAAACAGGGCTACCTACAAACAGCAACTCAACTGAAATACTCATGATCACATTTAACCTGCTGTTAGCCAGCAGCATTTATCAATGTCCAGGCCCACTGTTTGGTCCCAAACCTGAGCCAGTGTCTCCTATGACCCTCAAACCCACCACGGCAGGCAACTACACCAGTCTGCAGGTGCACACACGCACAAACATCATCAACACTACAAATACAGATTCTCATTACCCACCTCATTTGGCTGTCTGGTCGTTGAGCGCTGTGGAGACCATGTTGACCACATCGACTGACACCTGTGGGCAAGTCTGACGAGGCAAATACTTCAGCGGAGGATAGGAAAGAGTCACGGACACCTGGACAGCGTGCAGCAACACCGACACCCAGAGACAAACAGCAACAACTTGGCTTTTCTGTCAGAGCTTCTAAACTACAGAACACTCTTACATCTGGTAGAACAAACTAACACCTATAAGGTCTGGCGTTTGGAAAATCAGACGTGAACGTTTCTAATCAACACAGTACATTGTTCATCAAACCACTGCTGTTGTTATTTCTGGCTAATGTTGCTAACTTGCTTAAGCACATTGAACTGGCAGCCAACGCTGAGCAACACAGCTGGAAGCAGCTGTGCCCAGTGTAAGCTGGCTGCAGAGGCTTTGTGGGCAAGTCAGCTACCAGGCTGTGCAAAGAAATGGGAATCTGAGGCCGAGTCCAACATCCGTCCATCAAAGCTGTCTCTGGCACAGCAGAACAGGCGAGCTGGTGGCTCTGGATTAAGAGGAGAGACACCACTAACAACAGCAGGTTTGTAGGGAGTAAAAGCAGAGGGGTGCACCTGGGACACTAGGTGTTGCTGATGAGCCCTCTGGAGGTGTTGAGCCTCTCATCGAAACTCCAGTGAAGGAGGGTACCCAGCTGATGACCCCAGTGAAGCCTTTACCCTCCCTTAACCCCCCCAGCATGGCTCCAGCTGTCACTCACAATCACAAGCATGTGTTTAAAACAACTAACAAGTTAAAGTTTTTCTCCTCTTAGTTTCTTCTCTCATCAGACTGAAGGAGTCAGTGGAAGTAAAGTGTACAGCCTGGTCCGGTGGGGGAGAATTCAGTCTCGGCTCTGCCTTCCCTTTGCTCCTTCTACTTCTCTGTCCAGCTCACCTTAACCCTTTGACTCCCACTCAGAAACCCCCGCTCATAGTTTCATGTCTGTGCATCAGGGGACTGTAACAGCTCGCCCTAAACTGAACAAATAAAACTCCAGTGTGGAATAACTTTGAGTACTGTGGTCTCAGCCCTCCTGAGTGTGATATATGTGTCGGTTGTTCAGTGTTTGGTGGTGTTTGTTGGTGGTGTTTTGTGTATCCAAATGTGACAGATTGTGAAAACAAATTTCCCCATGAGACAATAAAGGCTATCTATCTACCTAATATAGTCATATTAGTATTAGTAGATGTGTCATGAATGTGTGTGTCAAGCGTGTGTCCAGCCCACATCTAAGATCTAAGACCAAACACTGCTGTGGTTCAACAACGTTATTTAAAGCACCCACAGTGTAAACAGAGAACTTTGTCTCCTCACTTAAAATATACAAATAAAATGTGGCACTAAGCACATCTCCATTTTATTACTCTCATTTTAAACTTGTATTCTTTTCGCTGCTTTATTTTCATTATCTCCCACATGAAGTGCTGTCAGTGGTCTGTGCAGTAGTAGGCTGATGCTGCCATCTTGTGGACTGTTTCATCACTACATCATCAGAGACTCAAAATGACCTCAGAGACACAAAAACCAGACAAAGAAGCTCAACATGAGGAAAAAGGGTCGCTACAAACACCGACAAAGAAATGCAGAGCAACTACAAACTGATTTAAAATGACTGAAAAGAGGGTTCAGTAGTGGGTCGTAGTCAGTCCAGTACTGAACAGCTGACCAGTGTAGTTGGAGGAGGATGATCACAGAGTCTCAAAATGACTACAAAGAGACAAAAGGGGTGGGATAACCTCAAAGAGGCACAAATTAACTACAAAGAGACACAATGATACTCTATATGACTACAGACATACAAAACAACAAGGAGAGACAAAGACACTCACAACGACTATAAAAAGTAACAGAACGACCACAAAGAGGTGCAGAGCAACTAAAGACATATTCAAAACCACCACAGTGGCTACAAAGAGATTCAAAATAGCTAAAAAGAGACAAGAAATGACCACAAAGAGGCTCAAAATGAATACAAAAAATGTGAAAGCAACTACAAAAAGGGACAAAACAGCCACAAAGAGACACAAAGAAACTGCAAGGAGACACAAAATGAAAACAAAGAAGCTCAAAATTTATACAAAAAGACAAAGACAAAACAGCTAAAAAGGGGACGAAACAACAGAGAGACAGGGAGACTCACAGAGACTGGGAGCAAAACAACCACAAAGAGACATAAAAAACCACAAAGAGATGCAAAATTCAAAAAAGATTTTAAGTTGGGATTAGTCTCCCATGACTTTGCTCCACCACCACCTGAGTATCAGCAGAAGACCAAATATTAATCGAGTCACTCTGGGTTCAATAAGAGGAGTCGGTACGATTCCACTGAGGAACAGTGCCTTGCAGTCAGCCTGGTCCATCAGAGACAACGATGGATGATTAATACACACACATGTCAGCACTAAACTCTTTTCTGCTAATAATAATAATAACAATAATAATAATAATAATAATGATAATAATAATGATAATACGTCCCGCTGGTGTCATGATGTTGCTCTATATAGAGACATGTCACTACTGTGCTTAGTGCCTTTAAAAATTCTGCTTTTATATTGGACCATTTTTGCCTCAGGTTTTAGCACCGAAGCACAAATTTCATGATCATTACATTATTGTTACTAAAAATCAAGTTAAAATCAAAGTCTTTTATATTGTTTGAACTGTTTTCTTTTTCTTTTTTGAGTCTGTATTTTATTTTGTTTGCTTTTCTGTGTTTTGTTGTATTTTAGGTGCCCTTGTGTGACCGAGGGACAGCAGATGAAAAATAGCCTTTTGGCATTTTTATAACATCTGACCCTTCTTAAATAAACTGAACTGAACTAAAATGTCACATCGGTGTGTGTGCGTGTGTGTGTGTGTGTGTGTGTGTGTGTGTGTGGAGGAGATCGGCACTGGCACAGAGCGCAGAGGAAAACCGATACCGTGAGCGTTTATCAGTACTACGCTCTTTGATCATTTAGCCCCGGAGCTAATTTAGTACCGGGTTTCAGTACCCATCCTTAATCAAAACACAAACGAAGTGAAGCTTGTAGAAATGAAATAAAGTTTGCAGCGGCTGCTCGTACCAGGAAGTGCAGAACGCTGCAAGTGTGTGTTCCACCAATCAGCGTTCTTCAGCACACAGCCCCGCCCCTCAAGAATTCCGGGGAATCTGAAAAGTCCTACCCTCCTTGTTACGTACTTTTTCAGGGAAAGTTTGGGGTTGAGGGAAAGTTTTTTTCCGGGGTAATTTCAGTGCAAACGCGCCAAGGTTTTTCAAAATCCTGGGTAAATGAGAAAAGTTCCTGAAAAGAGACAAAACAACAACAAGAAAGAGTCTAAACAAACATAAAGTCTGTGTGGTGGTGGGGCCCTCTGCATGTCTGAGCCCGGGGCCCATTGTCTCCTCATCCCCTGAGTGCACGCGGAGAGGCCGTGCGTGCGTGTTGCTCCTGGTGAATGAAATGAAATGAGTAACTGCTCAGCGTCACTCATCCGAGGAAAAGACGCATCCTGTCCAACAGTGTGTGGACACTTGGACCCTCCGTCCCACAGTCAGTGTGTGGCTGCAGCCCAACAACGGCCCTATTGTAGAGTCAGACCCCCCCCCCCCCCCCCCCCCCCCCCCCCCCCCCCCCCCCCCCCCCCCCCCCCCCCCCCCCCCCCCCCCCCCCNACACACACACACACACCGTCACCAGCTTTACGCACATGTATGATATGTGTGTGTGTGTGTGTGTGTGTGTGTGTGTGTATCTCTGAGGTGTGCAGGGCCTCCGACACTCCGAGCGGAAGAAGTGAGAGTTGTTTGGTGGAACATTAACGCCAGTCTGCTTTAAGAGGATTCATGACCGAGCCTCTACACTCGTGTCCTCGGAGCAGAGACGGAGTGGGACGGACTTGGAAATCAGTCAGCAGCTCCCGATGCGACAGCAAACATCCAAAAAGTCTCCACAGCAAATAAAGCACCATGAGTAAGGTAAGAAGTGTGTGTGCAGCGGACTGTTTGAGGGGCTCAAATGTTTTTAACAAATGATTTAAACCCACTGTAAAAGAAAAAAAAAGTTTTCTGGAGTGTGTGTGGATCAGGGGCGAGGACAGGGGACAGGGGACAGGGGACAGACGGAGCGGAGCGGCTTCTGGTGTCTGGTAAATGAAGTGAAAATGCGTTTTCCTCTCGTCCTGTAAGTGAATCCGCAGCCGAGTGTTTGAGACTCACAGAACAGGTCTGTCTCTGCAGACCAGGACTGCAGGGGCGCTAAGTTAGTAGTGAGATGATGCAACAGGCGCTCAGGCTGCAGGGACCGTTTGGAGATCTGGTGCCACACATGCACTCAAGACTTGTGTGGAGACACATGGTCACAGCTGAACATTTAAAGGGTCATTTCACCAACATAGAACACAGGGAGACTTATAACCACCCACAGAGACAGACTACCAGCCTGTCTGAGCACACTTTGTTTTAATAGCACAGATTTTGATCTGGCCCAGCATCGGCACAAACTCAGCACGCGGGCTGAAATTAGTCTGACCACATGCAGCTGCCAGACTCTGCTGAGAAACCAAGTCCTCCTGAGGAAACTGTCCCTGAGAGCTGTTAACAGAGAGTTATCCAGAGTCAGAGGGACACTGACCGATAAAACATCCTCACTGTCTCCTGGAGCTGATGTTCACATCACTCAGTCGTGACATCATCATGGTGTGGAAACGGAGTTAAAAGACACTCCTCTGAAGGACAAAGTCAGTGTACTGTGAAATTTAAAAATATATTTGTATATGAGTTTATCATGTGCAGGACGATGATCATAAACCAGCACACTGTTTGTTTCAAAAAGTCCAGTTTGTAGGATTAAGAGGCGTCCAGCAGTGAGCGAAAACAGGAACGTCTCTCTTTCTAGAGCCCGTGTTTGATTTGTGTGTTCTGGGCTACTGTAGAAACAACATGGCCGCCTCAGAGGAAGGCGACCCACACTCCAGAGTCCTGCACTTTAAAATGTTGGTGAGCATTGCTAGTGATTATAGTTTCCTTGATATTACTGCTATATGTAGATACGTGCTATATAAAGGCACATATGACTTTATGTGCTAGAAAATATATATTAACTTAAGATTTTGAGGCAAGATGACTTTGGGGGCCCAGACATTTTAACTTTGATGGAGAAAAATCTCTCAGACATTTTAGCAACATTTTTTTCTGACATTTTATTGACATTTTTTTTTGGACATTTTGTCAACAATATATTATGCCCTTGGGGGACATTTTATTATTTTTTTGGGCACTTTATCAACTTTTTTTTTCAGACTTTTTATTAACATTTTCTTCTGATATTTTATCAACATTTTTTGGACATTTTATTAACATTTTCTTCTGATATTTTATTAACAATTTTTGGACAGTTTATTAACATTTTCTTCTGATATTTTATCAACATTTTTTGGACATTTTATTAACATTTTCTTCTGATATTTTATTAACAATATTTGGATAGTTTATTAACATTTTCTTTTGATATTTTATCAACATTTTTTGGACATTTTATTAACATTTTCTTCTGATATTTTATTAACTTTTTAAAAAACATTTATCAACATTTTCTGCATGATCATATTAAAAGTGTTGAAATAGTCTGACAGTAATTCTTTTCATTTTTGCATATTGATTTACTCCAGTGAATCATGTGTTCTTAACATAATCAGCCACATTCCTGTTATTCCATGTCAAATATTGATCAGCTCTGTTAGAGACAGAGAAAATATTTATTATACCTGCTCCTTTTTTTAATATTTGACAAAGAGATTAGTCATTGGATTATGAATTAACTGACAGAGGGTTTAACATTTCTTACTGCACCTGGTTTAAAAAGTGTCGACTCCCATTCAGTGAACAAACTGTGTCCTCTTTCAGAAACTATGTGGGACCAATTATCCCATCAGCATCTGCTTCATCGTGGTGAACGAGTTCTGCGAACGCTTCTCCTACTATGGCATGAAAGGTACGTAACTTTCCACAGGTGGAAACATGTGGTCGCCCAGATCGACCTGAAGAACAGCATTCTGTGTGAACAGTGTTTGACACAAAGCTGAACGAGCAGTGATGCTCATAGAGTCAGAGTTACAGAGAGCCTTCAGACCGGGGTCTCCACCTTCCCTCACATGACCTCACTGACACTCACATGTCATTTCCTCTTCAAGCAGTTTAAATCAATACTTCCAGGAACAGGAAGTAAAATTCACTTGATGAGAAGGTGTGATGAGGTTTGAGGAGCAGGAACCGGAGGGAGATTAATATTTTTGTCTGATGAATAACTTAAATAAATATAGATGAATTGAATAATCACCTCATCACTGCATCAGTTCATTGTGAGTGAACAGCTTTCACCGTTCAGTGTCTCACTCTGAGGGCTGAGTTCACACGAGCCGCCAGAAAACATCATTTGCCTCAGCATGTTGTCAGAAACCTCGTGAACGCATGAATCAATCATTTGAGCTGAGTGTGACAGAAAAAGAAAAAACTCTTTACTAACTAGCTTTTTCTCAAAGCTTTCAGACACGTCTTTAGTTAACAACTGTCTGCTGAGGAAGATCATGTGCTGCAGTTGAAAGCTCAGGGAAAAGCTTTGAAGCTGACTTTGAATGAAGAGTTTTTCATCAGATAATTTCTGTGTTAGCACCAGATAATAAAGTGATATTTATATAGTACTGTGGGGCAGTTTTTCTGGTTGCTGACTTCACAATTTGCGTTATGATGTTGACTTCAACTCATGTTGGTCAAACGACGAACAAGGTGAACAAGGTGACTGGTAAACATGACCATGTGACTCTGATGTATCTGCTCATGTGGTGACATCACATCCAGGCTGGTAACAACAACAGACAAGTTTATCTTCTTAAAGGGGAACAACAACTAACTTAATAATTCCTGTATGTTATTTCTATGGCCGAGAAGAGTTCAGTCAATAATTGTCAACATGAGCTTCTCTCCCTCGAAGCCAGAAACCAGAAAAAATGTTGATGAAATGTCCGGAATTTTTTTTTTTTTTTATAAAATGAAATGCCAGAAAAATATTTTAAAAAATGTTCAGAAAATATCATAGAAAATGTTAAAACAACATTTGAAAAATTGATGATAAAACTTCCAAAAATATTAGGAAAATATCTGAAAAAAATGTAAAAAAAATGCAAAAAAAAATTTAAAAAAAAAAAAATCTAAAGCTATTTTGAAATTATCCCAAAAAAAAAAAAAAATGTTAATGAAATGTCCAAAAAAGTTGATAAAATGTTTTTTTTTTAAAAAATCAGTAAAATGTCCGAAGATATGTAAATAAAATGTCTCAAAAATGTTGAAAAAACTTCCAAAAAATAGCGTGAAATTATTGGAAAGAAATTTCATGAAATGTCCAAAAAAAGTTAATGACATTTCTGAAAAAAACTTGATAAAATATCTGAAAAAATCTTGATAAACGTTCTGAAAAAAATGTTGATTTAAATGTCAGAAAAATGTCGATAAAATATTCTGAAAATATCTGATTTTTTTTTACAAAATGTCTTAGAATATGTTATTAAAATGTCCAAAAACATTAATAAAATATCTGTAAAAAGAGAAGTGAGTCTCAAACTTGTGACGTCATCAAGTCTAAAGTCGGGAGCTGCTCCATAGATGATGAATGGAAGAGTGAAGTTTGTCGTGTTTTTACACCTAAATGAACGTTATTATTAGTACACGTGTTCTCAGTTGTGAAGTTTGGACTCTACATGTCCTCTGATCGGGGTCACAGCTTCATGCTCGTGTGTCTGTTCACAGCGCTGCTCACGCTTTACTTCGTCAACTACCTGCACTGGGATGAGGACCTCTCCACCGCTATCTACCACGCCTTCGGCAGCCTCTGCTACTTCACACCCATCCTGGGAGCGCTCATCGCTGACTCCTGGCTCGGAAAATTCAAGTGAGTCCCGTGTCCTTCGTCCCCGAAAAGGGTCAGTTCACTCGGAATCACCAACAACTAGGTGTCAGATGTGTCATCATGGATCTGTAGTTTCATCATCACTGGTGTGTTTTATCCCCTTTAACCTGAGAGCTTTGTCTGAGTTGTGTAACAGCTCCTATTAGTGGGCATGAATCACTCCGACCACACACACACACACACACACACACACACACACACACCCCGACACCAGCTTTACGCACATGTATGATATGTGTGTGTGTGTGTGTGTGTGTGTGTGTGTGTATCTCTGAGGTGTGCAGGGCCTCCGACACTCCGAGCGGAAGAAGTGAGAGTTGTTTGGTGGAACATTAACGCCAGTCTGCTTTAAGAGGATTCATGACCGAGCCTCTACACTCGTGTCCTCGGAGCAGAGACGGAGTGGGACGGACTTGGAAATCAGTCAGCAGCTCCCGATGCGACAGCAAACATCCAAAAAGTCTCCACAGCAAATAAAGCACCATGAGTAAGGTAAGAAGTGTGTGTGCAGCGGACTGTTTGAGGGGCTCAAATGTTTTTAACAAATGATTTAAACCCACTGTAAAAGAAAAAAAAAGTTTTCTGGAGTGTGTGTGGATCAGGGGCGAGGACAGGGGACAGGGGACAGGGGACAGACGGAGCGGAGCGGCTTCTGGTGTCTGGTAAATGAAGTGAAAATGCGTTTTCCTCTCGTCCTGTAAGTGAATCCGCAGCCGAGTGTTTGAGACTCACAGAACAGGTCTGTCTCTGCAGACCAGGACTGCAGGGGCGCTAAGTTAGTAGTGAGATGATGCAACAGGCGCTCAGGCTGCAGGGACCGTTTGGAGATCTGGTGCCACACATGCACTCAAGACTTGTGTGGAGACACATGGTCACAGCTGAACATTTAAAGGGTCATTTCACCAACATAGAACACAGGGAGACTTATAACCACCCACAGAGACAGACTACCAGCCTGTCTGAGCACACTTTGTTTTAATAGCACAGATTTTGATCTGGCCCAGCATCGGCACAAACTCAGCACGCGGGCTGAAATTAGTCTGACCACATGCAGCTGCCAGACTCTGCTGAGAAACCAAGTCCTCCTGAGGAAACTGTCCCTGAGAGCTGTTAACAGAGAGTTATCCAGAGTCAGAGGGACACTGACCGATAAAACATCCTCACTGTCNGGCAGCTTTACACACTCTCCCATGACGGGGAACTCAAACCCTTTGGCGTGAGTACGAAACAAGACATTAGGTGACATCATTTTGGGGTTTGGGAGAGACAGACCAACATTTTTCAACATTTTAACACATTTTTCAATAAAATGATTAGTCGACTAACGACAATGAAAATAATCGTTAGTTGCAGCCCTACTCTGCAGTAAAGACTTTTAAATATGTTCTTCCTTGTTCTTTATCTTGTTGGAGAGCCTTCCTGTAGATCCCCACTCACCATGAGCACCCGACACAAGGTTTTGATCTGCCTTTGAGTTGCCTCTCTCTTTCTAAGGTTTCATTTTTTGTTGGGCAACTTCAGACTATCAGTTTCTGTAACGCCCCACCGCACTCCACCGCTGACCCAGACTAACCACATAAGACACCTTTAAACCATCAGTCATTAATAAATCATGCAAACATGATAATAACTCTCAGACTGAGAGGCAGCGGTCCCCTCACACCACCTCTCCTCCTCTGCTGCTGCCACACAAGCGCTTTAACACTTCCTCCTCAGGCCAGGTGCAATACAGCTCGTTAGGTAACGCAGCTCACCTGGGCAGATGCACACCTGAGGGAAAGTGACAGCAGCACAGAACACACACAGCTGTAACAGTGTGAGTGCTGCGGTTCACACGTCCTGTATCCTCATTATCAGCAGGTTATTTGCATGTGTACGTTTGTGAATGTGTTCAGTGTGACAGTTAACTCAAACTGTTCTGTGCGTCCACTGTCGTTATCAGCTGGTCATGTGTGTGTGTGTGTGTGTGTGTGTGTGTGTGTGTTGCAGCTCTCTGTCCATGGTAGGTCTGATACTCATAGCTTTCGGCACTGGAGGAATCAAACCCTGCGTGGCGGCGTTTGGAGGAGACCAGTTTGATGAGGAACATGTAAGTCACCGCACTTCCTGTTCAGTCTGAAGACACAGCGTGTTGTACGGTGTGTACAGTGGCGTCCCTGATGGACACAGTGAGTTACATCATCTGGGACGAGTCAGTATGAATGAGATTTATCCAGCAGGAAGCAGTCTGAGTGAACAGGAAGTCAGAGTGTCATCTGTTGGTGATGGAAGAGTTTGATTTGTTTTCAGTTCTCACTCTTTAACTTCATATCACACAAACTCTACGTTCTAAAATGTGACTGTTTATATTTCATTTAGCTTTTCACAGTATAATTATAGTGTTTAAAACGTGTCCTGATTATTTCGTTGATCTCCTGCAGGGCACCGAGAGGCAGAAGTTCTTCTCCATTTTCTACATGTCCATCAACGCCGGCAGCCTTCTGTCCACCGTGATCACTCCCATATTGAGAAGTGAGCTGCCTTAATGTTCAACATGTTATATAACCAATCAGGTGACCAGGTGTCTCTGACATCACTGCTGTTAACGCTGGATTTACTCCCACAGGTGACGTGCAGTGTTTCGGTGGAGACTGCTACGCTCTGGCCTTCGGGGTTCCTGCAGCTCTGATGATGGTGGCTTTAGGTGAGTGTCCGTCCACCCGTTACATCATCCGACAGACGCCAGAGGAAAATGTTGGCATTGTATGATTCATACATATTGTTATCAATGATGTGTATGTAAAGTGTAATGTTAGGTGATGTAGTTTATGAGCTGACTGTGCCATCGGGAGGAGGAGGAGGGCATGGTGGAAGGTGTGGCACCATAAAGACACCTGCCAAGCTGCAGACAACTGTTTGAGACCGACAAGTGAGTCATCACTATATTTCCAGCGGCATTTTAGTCACCAAACATGGTGTTTTTAGCAACACGTCACCAGTGGCCAGTAGACTTGGGGGTGGCATGGTGGTGCAGTGGTTAGCACTGTTGCCTCACAGCAATAGGGTAGGTTTCTTCCAGGTGCTCTGACATGTTCTCCCTGTGTCAGCGTGGGTTTGACCGGACAAAGCCACTCTTCGTCAGGACAGCTGCCTCCGTCTCACTCAGACGCACCTCAGCTCTGGGTCTGCAGCTGCACGTACCAGAGAACAGTGTGAAAACAAGGAGCGCTCACTCTGCAGCTGCAGCTGGGGACCAAAAACATCCCCAGATGTAAACAACACACTGACTGACGAACAAGCAAATAAAAGAAGAAGAATGTCAGAGGCGTCTGAGGCAACTGATGATTTGGCGCCAAATTAAGGTTCAGGTTTTTTTTTTTTTTTTTTTGAGTGAGATATCTGAACAGCAGTCGGACGGCCACGACAGTTTGAATACTGGTGATGGTTAAAACACATTAAAACAAATGAATGCACTTTGTGCTCCAAGGAAACAAATAAAAGCACCAGGCTGCAATGTAATGCCACATTTTCATGTCTCCACATCGGTGATAGCCTCAGCTGGAGGCATCATGTCTTCAGGTTGTGCGTCCATCTGTTCCTCAAAGTTGGCACAAATATCCACTGAGGAATGAACTGATAAGAATTTGGTGGTCAAAGGTCACTGTGACCTTGTCTGTCTCATTCTTCTGAACATGATATCTCAAGAACAGCTCAAGAACAGAGAGAGTTCCTCAAGTTTGGCACACATCTCCACTGTCGATGATACACTGATTAGATTTTGCTGCTCAAAGGTCAGTGTGACCTCGCAAACATGTGTTTGTCCACAAATGAAGAATTTGTTCACTAATTCTGACCAAACTTGACACAAATGTCTAACAGGATGAAATAATGAAGGTCAAAAGGTCAAAGGTCAGCTTGACTGTGACATCATCATGTTTTAACGTCATATCTCAGGAACAGAAGGGGAGACATTTGGTCAGATACTGAATTGGTGACTCTAATCTTGAAACTGTGCTGATTGTATAGATCTTCTGTGTGTGAAGCATCCATGTTTTCACTGACATGGATGGAGACTGTCAGAGACACTGGACTGGTGGGCGGAGTCATACAACCACAGGGCGGTGACTCTAGTTAATATTAGTGTCCAGATTGTATCAGATTGAAGTACAGACTTGCATCTGTATGCTGACAGTTTGTTTGTATGAAGTCCAGTGTGTGACGCGCTGGGCTTCCTCTAGGTCAAGGCCCTTCCTCATTCGTCCTGACAGTCAGTTGTCTCTGCCGCAGACTCCCCTCTCTGATCCGTGTGGGCTTCACGCTCCGCTGACCGCTCACTGTGAAAACAAGCTGTGAGTTTATTACTGGAGGGGCCGCAGATCGCAGTGAGGATGACACAGAGTACGAGCCTCAGTGGTCGAGGCCTGAGGCTTATTTACAGCACGTTAGATTTTATTTCAGAAGCCATTAAAGAGGACAAAACATCCATACATGGTAACGCACTCTGACAGATTCTGCTGTTTCTCCTCATGTCGGTGAGGAAATAAATACAGAGCCAATAAGATCATGTTGGCACGTCTGCTACCAAGCAAGTGGAGAGCTTGTTTGCACAACAGCTGAACTGTTTCCAACATAAACTGTTTTGTTCACTCCTCCGGGTCCGGCCTAACTCTTCATCCATCTTGTGCAGTTGTGTTCATTGCTGGCAGCGGGCTGTACAAGAGGAATCCTCCCCAGGGAAACATCCTGTTGGAGGTCTGCAAATGCATCGGGGTGAGTCATCTCTCAGTATTATTAATGTGCAAATGGATTTATTCACTTTGGTTTGCTGTCCAGGAACATGTTGTCTTGTAATAGCAACACAAATTTGCAAATTGCTTCTGCTTCTGTCTGATTTTCAATTCTGGTATTTTCTTTTTGCAGTTTGCCATCGAAAACCGCTGGAACAGATCAAAGTATGACTCTCCGAGGAAACACTGGCTGGACTGGGCTGAGGAGAAGTACTCAGTAACTGCACTCCTACTGCTAACTCCTGCATTTCTCTGAAAGAGAGCACCGCTGGTTCCAGTGCAGTAACACGATCTGTGTGTTTGTGTGTCAACAGAAGCGACTGATCCAGGAGATTAAGATGGTGCTGCGGGTTTTGGTGCTCTACATCCCACTGCCGATGTTCTGGGCTCTGTTTGATCAGCAGGTTCGTAAAGACACCTTGAGTTCCTTTCTTTAATATGTCCATTTCCACAGTTCATGCACCGTGCACTGAAGCTGAGTGTCTGAGAAAACCAAACGAGGCTCTCTGAATGTTACTCTGACCGTCCACCACTGTGGTTTGAAAATGTGTCAACAAGTGTTGGACGGATCGCCACGGAGACTTTCATGTCAAAAAGTCTTTCAGGCGATCAGTGGAGACTCCAGGAAGTTACGGTTTCCAGCCAAGACGTTCAGACACATGACCAGACAAATTAAACAAACGAGATAAAACACTTTAATTAGTGAGCTGTAGGGGGGCGGGGAGGCAGATTTGGAAGCGTTGGACGATTGGCTTTTCATCAGAACAAAAACTAATGCTGTCAGAATGATGATATAATCATACAAGTGGGTAAATAAAGTAAATTATTTTATGTAATGTTCATAGTGAGCATCACACATCTGAAACAGTCTGTAACTTGGATAAATAGAAATAAGTTCTCATCACTTTTAATTAGACTGAATGAAGAAGACAGTAGTTCTCTAAAACTGGTGTAGGTCAGGGTGTCCAGGAGCGCAGTGGTTAGAGTTGGCATCCCATGTACTAAGGCAATGTTCGTGCCGCAGCAGCCGTGGGTTCGATTTCAGTCTGAGGCCCTTTGCTGCACTTTATCCCCCCAGTTTGGGATGCTTCAGCCGCTGACTGGGTGTCAGTCTCTGGAGCTGCTGCCTGCTCTCCTCCCTCCTCAGGTGGTCTGTAGCTGCAAGTAGAGAGGTGGAGGACACACTGTGATTTGAGGATCTAACTAACGTTAGCTACATAAATATGAACGTGAAGCTGCAACTGTGAGTCTTTGGCTCCAGTTAGCAGAAGGCTAAACTGTTAGCATCATGTTGTCTCCATGTCTGAAACTCTTCACTGATACTGACACGTGTTTTATTTAGTTTATTGTCAGACTCTCTTTCAGACTCTGTTTGATCAGTCCGTCTCTTTGTTGGGTTGCTCTGCAGTGGAGACAGTTGTTGGCAATGCTGGAACAGCAACTTTCTCTGCAGGATTCTCCTCCATTGAATCAGGTTTTCACCATCTGAAGGAGCGTGCACACTCTTCTGCATTTGCAGATCAGCCAATAGGAATGCCCTCTCAAAGTGTTTTGTCACAGGCTAGATTTTCTAAAGCCTCTAAAGAACAGAGCCAAGAGGAGGAGCAGGAGTCTAGTTCTCCCTCACACCACTTGGATTACAGTATGATAAAAGTTTATTATGGGATTGTTTCCCAGTGACACCAGAATGAGACTCTCAGCTTGAAGTCAAGTATCATATTCACGTTTTGATTGCTCGTGCGTGACCAGTCTCCTCAGTCAGCATGAGGTCAAGGTCCTGTGTCACTGCTCTCTTTTTAAAGTCCCATAACTATGTGTTATCTTCTCCTCTGACCAGAACTCAACACAAGCGTCTGATTATGGAAAACCTCAAAGCCACGTTCAACATTCCTGAGCCCCGGCCCTCCTGAACTTACTCTCTGTTTAACACTAACTCTGACACGTCTGCTCTGGAGGACATGTCAGATCTTTACTCATCATTATTCTCTCTAGGAAAAACACAACTCAGGTCTGCTGTGGTGATGGTGTCATTATGCTAAGCTAAGCTAAGCTAAGCTAAGCTAGCAGTGAAGCTGATGCTTTACAGTGACAGTGACAGTCAATGTCTTTGCTGCAGGGCTCCCGCTGGACGCTTCAGGCCACGAGGATGAACATGGCTTTTGTAAGTTTCCTTCATGAGATAACGGAGGTGTAATGATGTGTTAGCAGCTGATAACATCTCTTATTGCTCTTTGATATCAGTGGGTGGGTCTGAGATTCATCTGATTGCTCAATAAGTCCTGTAAACGTTTCCTTTGTCAGGGTGTTGCTGCAGCTCATCGTTTTACTCCAGTAAATGACGAAGGTTATGATGTATATAAAACACAAACTGGTCCAGTTGGATGTGAATTTTATTGGGCGATGCTAACCGTAATTATCCTGTTAAATTTATGGAGTTAAAGTTTAAATGGTATTCCTGATAAAGATGAAATCTTCTTCTTCTTCTCTTCCAGGGAGATTCCTTCAATATTAAACCGGACCAGATGCAGGTGTGTGCAGGTCGTCCCGCCCTCAGCTCAGTGATGCAACAAGCTCCCTTTTTTATTAAAGTTATATTTTTGTTGGTGCTTTTAGAGTCACACAATAATACAGGACAGGGTTTTTAAACTATCCAGTCAGTAGGTTTATGTCCCTTTGTGTATACAGTCCATTTGGTCCAATATTACCTCTCCACACACACTTCAACTCCACGGTCACCTGGAGGGTCCACCACATTCAGTGTCGTCCCAGACCATCTATTTAGGAGTGGATTTGAGTTAGATCAGCCGCCACTTTCAAACATCATCACTCAAGGCAGTCATCAGTTAAAGACACGCCTTCAGCAAGTAGCCCTGTTGTCATGGACGTAGGAATCCCTGCTGTGCCAAACCAGCACATGACTCACGCCTGCCGAAGGGGTCCACGGTGGGTAGTTGCCTGTGGCTGTGAACCTTTACAGAGTCATTGGGGTCACATGTGAGTCATTGACCCAGATGGGTCCAGGTGTGAATGGGGGGGGGGGTCTCAGGACTGCATTGTAGATGAGTGATAATTGGTGTCACAGGCCGCCTCCTCTTTTTAACGATGGTCGTTCCAGTCGTTTAACATAGACCTCTCTCATGCTGTCTGTCTCCTCTGGCTAAGATGTGAACATTGCTGTCCTCAAAGGAGCGTCCCTGTCCTTTAAGGACCTGACACACCAAGCCGCTGATCGGCCGTCGACCAAAGTCGGGCCGTCGGTGAGCGTCTGTCGGCCTAGTTTTTGCGGTGTGTCCCGCACTGTTGGCACTTTGGCATCGGCGGCTTTTTGGCCGATTGAGCATGTTGAATCAGCAACGGAGCTTGTCGGTGAGAGAGATCACTCTGATTGGCTGTTCAGGTTTTATTTCCTCGCCCCTGTAGCGAGTGAATCTGCCTGTAGTGAAACCGGGGCTAACCGGTGCTTCCTCCTCAGGCTCCACTTCACTCAGCTGCCCCACAGACCCGCTGCTTCTTCACACTTTAACCTGAATAACAAACCGGAGCTAGCTGGGAGCAGCTAGCGGAGCGTTAGCCACAGCATGACCGGAGGGAAGCACAGCCAGTTAGCCTCCGCTAGTCTCTGAGCTAGCCCCGGCTCTCCGTTTGGATCCAACCGGAGCACCGAGCCCTGGTTTGTTATTCAGGTTAAAGTGGGAAGAAGCAGCGGGTTTATCGGGCAGCTGAGTGAAGTGGAGCCTGAGGAGGAAACACCGGGACCGTCTGGATGTAATAGTCCGTGGAGGTGCTGCGGTGCTCGGCTGCACAGATAGGAAACCCCTCGGCTGACAGGATGTACCACTCTCTCACTCCGCTCTCTCTCACGCAGGCGCAGAACGTACGTGCTACTTGGCCGTCGGATGTAGTCCGTGTAGTGTGTTCAAATGCAACTGACACAGGGCGACGTGAGGCGACGTAGACGACGCAACAGTTGGCTTTCGTCACCGCTAGTTCTTTGATGTCGGTTTGGTGTGTCCGCACCTTTAGATGTGAAGTGCCACAGTAACACAGTAACAAAGTCCCAGTGTCCTCAAACAAATTCTGTGTAATTAACAGGATTTTAGCTCGTTACTTTTGCAAAAATCTGATCAGGTTTTGGACCTCTGTTTTTGTGTTGCCACTGGCTGCTGACCGATTTGGCAGAAATGGCTGCCGTTCAGTTTTTACATGGATTAGTGTGTTGTGCTCCTGCCACCCACAGATGACGCAAAAAAGTGTCCAGAAATGAGGACAGCAGGTCTGAGTTCATCAGAATGAAGTATAATGTGCTGCAAACCCAAAATATAACATCCTCGTATGAGGACGCAGAGTCGCAGGAGTAGAAATGACAGTTTTACTACTATATACTATTGTTTAAATTTAAATTTCTTATATTTTCACATATCTTTCCTCTCTTGCAAGGAGCACCTGTAACATAAATAATTTCCCCTCGGGGATCAATAAAGTATTTCTGATTCTGATTCTGATTTTGGCCATTAAATGCTTCTGATTGCTTCATGGTTAGAATCTTTATCATGTTTGATTTCCCTAAAAACTGGGGACACTGAAACTAAACTGTTCACTCGATTTTGTTATTAAAAAATATAACATCTTCTTCTGCTGCTGTGCTGACGACACACAGCTGTCTCCCTCTCAAACATAACCACAAGTTGAGAACATAAAGAACATCCGTCAGCTGAATAACGGCAGATCAGAAGGCATCTTTTTCGCCTGACTCCTGTTTGACTGCTGAGCGTGGACACTTCCTGTGTCTGTCCTTTCAAATTAAATTCCCACATGGTCCAGTCATATATGTTTGGATTAGTTTTGACGAGGCGCAGCTGCTGATGGAGTGTCACGCTTTTGTTTCCTGTGACTCAGCAGCCAAAGAAATCTTGCAGACTAACGATCTGTCTGGTTGACTAATGTTTGGTTGACCGTTAGGGGGCGGCCCGACCTGGCAGCCTCTCCAACCGTGTTAAACACTTATGAAAAATCCTGGCATGATATTTGACTCCGCCTTTAAGTTTGACGAGCAAATAAATGCAGTAGTTGAAACCAGATTTTTCCAACTCCACACCAAAATGAAGCCATTACTCTCCCTCAAAGACCTGCAGACAGTCACCACGCTCTCATCTCCTCCTGTTTGGACGACTGTAACTCTCTGTCCTGGGGCTCCTGGATGTCCCATGCTCCAGATTCAGGCTCAGGGCTGATCCTGCCTTTGCTGTGTCCGCCCCCAAACTGAGATCAGATCTGCCCCCTTCACTGATTCGTTCAAGTCCAGCGTCTGAGTCGTCCTGACGAAGCTTTCTGTGATGTCTGCCTGTGTGTGTGTGTGTGTGTTGTCTCTCTGAATGTCTGAGCTGTGTTCCTGACAGTTGTGTTGCCTCTCGTGTGTTTTTAGGGACTTCTTCCTGTTGTACAGCACTTTGGTCGATGTGAGCTGTTTTTAAATGACGTGAACACCCTCACACACACTTATAGCACTGTAAATCTAACAAACCTACAGACTGGAATCAGATATTTAGTGTGAAACAAACATCGGTGTGTCACATCAGGACGTGTCACAGACGCCTGACGTGGCGTGTATGCTCTTCTTATGAAATCCTTTTACAGCTGTTAATCACCGCCATCCTGCCGTCTCTTTACTGTCAATATCGAAACAAAACAAGTCTTTTATTCACATGTTTCTGTAACCTTTATGATTTTATGAGCTTTTATGGCGTCATTTAACGGCCTGCTTTCCCCCTGCTGTTGTTTAGATGTTGAATGCTCTGCTGATTCTCGTCTTGGTGCCCATCTTTGACCTCATCATATATCCGCTCGTCGCCCTTTGCAGGATCAATATCACGTGAGTACAGGCCTGTTGTTTGGGACACACTTGTCTTTATGGCAGAAATGAGCCTTTGAGACGCCTCTTAACCTGGAAAATGAGCCGTGTTACCTCATGTTTTTATCCCACGCACACACCTCAGGATAACAGACTGTTAACAAGAGGAGGACATGTCTGTGCACACGTACACCAGCTTACTGTACATCATGAATGGTAAAACTGATGAGTGGGTGTTTAATGTGTTTAATACCTCCAGAGGTGCAAACATGATATCAGCAAACAACACACAGCTGTTTATAATCACTGAAGATCTCAGCTTGTGAAGGACGGAACGTCAGAACAGTGACGAGGCTGTTATCATGCAGGAGATCAGTCAGGACGCTGATGTGGAAATCTGTGATTTATAAAGTGATAAAGTTTGACTCTGAGTGACAGCTGAATAACAGTGTCGTCTGTCTGTCTGTCCGTCCGTCAGGCCTCTGAGGAAAATGGCCGCAGGGATGATTTTTGCCGCGCTGGCCTTTGGAGCGGCCACACTGGTGGAGGTGAACGTTGTGGTACGTATCTCGCCTCTTCTTACATAAAGAGAGAGACAGAAAGGTTTACTCACCACACACACACACACACACACACACACACACACACACACAGGGTTAAACACAGCCAGAGCACATGCAAACACAGACTGTGTGAGTTTCTCTGCAGCCTGGGAAACCTGAGGAATTCATCAATGCATTTTTGATAAGAACAACATTCACCACCTGTCCTGGAAACACTGAGCTGTCCTCACGGTGAGGTCAGGGGTCGGCAACTTTTACTGTCAAAGGAACAAAAATAATAAAACCAAAATCAGTCTGGAGCCACAAAACATATTTTAGCCTTGTAGCACACACAGGTAACACAGATCTAAATCAGCCAATCGACATTACGAGTAGGTTTAAATGAGCATATGTTTCACTCTGCAGGAGCTGTTTATGATTATTTGGAACTTTAACTTTGCAGTGTTGGTTGTAAAAGCAAATGAAGCTGTGCACACACGATTATATTCTCTATCCTCCACCCAAACTTCCAAAGCCAGCCTCACTCGGGAGCCACCACCCTCGAGGTTTGGCAACATTTGGAGACAATGGCTGTGGGCGTTTGAAGCGCATTTTATTTGAGAAAACTTTTTTATTTATTTGGTGCATATTTTCTTGAGGCCAACAGCAAAGATAAATGAAATTTAAAATGCTAAAAATAGCTGTTTTTATTTCCATATGATTTTTTTTGTCAAAGTCTCTGAGAGCCACTGAAGAAAGGCTCCAGAGCAACATGTTGTCAACCCTGGGTTAGGTGGATACACACTGTACTGTCACCCCCACATGTACTTTTGTATGATGTCCTCATGCTGTTGATGGCAGCTGAAGTTAGAGCCGTCTTCAGGAGGTACCTTTGAAATCATGTGGGCAGCTTGCAGCTGTATCTTAAAGGGATAGTGCACCCAAAAATGAAAACTCAGTCATTATCTACTCACCCATATGCCGAGGGAGGCTCAGGTGAAGTTTTAGAGTCCTCACATCACTTGCAGAGATCCAAGGGGAGAGGAGGTAGCAACACAACTCCACCTAATGGAGGCTGACGGCGCCCCAGATTCAAACGTCCAAAAACACATCATTGAAACCACAAAATATCTCCATACTGCTCGTCCGTAGTGATCCAAGTGTCCTGAAGCCCCGACATAAAAAGCTGTTTGAGGTCTGTTTTTAGCCTCAATGTAGCCTGTAGCTCTGACTGCCTCTCTGGACACTGGCCAGTGAAAGCACGTGAACACACATGAAGGCGGTGCCCATGTCTCACGGTCTCACGCAAGCATGCACACGTGAGTGCGGTGCCCAGAAAACATGAACGGTACCGTTCTACTGTTGGGCTAGCTGTAGCTACTGTTAGCAATAACAGTGCTCTATGTGTTATTTTGCACATACAGACAGACAGCATAGCAACATGTCCATGGATACAAATTGAACAGTGCTATGGGTTTGGCTGAGCTCATGTAAAACAAAGAAGATAAAGTTGCTATAAACAGTACGTTAGCAGAGTGTTTACTCACTGTGTATGTGACCGGCAGCCATCTTGAATTCGTAAGTCGGGGTTGATGCGGGTTGGAAATCCGATCTCAGGGTATGTTCGAGTTTAAACTGGGAACTGGGAATTTCCGACCTCAGAGTACACAACGAATGCACCAATAGATATGTGACAGTGAAGTTAAGCTGTGTGGCAAACTGGCTCAACAGTGCCCCCGAACAATTTTCAAAGTAAAAGCCCCCACCTTTAACTTTCACATAGGGAAACAAAATGTTATATGCATATGTAACACACTAAGACATACAAAAAAGTCTCTTGGAGCCACAGTGTAAACCTGACAGGAAGTCAGCCATTTTGAATTTGATATAGTTTAGGTGTGAGCTGCAGAGTGTTGGAGATATGGGCCGTAGAGATGTCTGACTTCTCTCCAATATAACAGAACTAGATGACACTCAGCTTGTGGAGCTCAAAACTCAACATCAGTGGCTCTTTACAGAAATCATGACCTGGTTACTCAAGATAATCCACAGACCTTGTTGCTGCAGTTTTACGTGGGAACTATTTTCTGTCTACTGAACTCCACCTGCTGTCTGGCTGCGGGTTCGATTCCAACCCACGACCTTTTGCTGCACGTCGTCCCCTCTGTCTCTGAAGCTGTCCTGTTCAAGAAGAGCAAGATGCTAAAAAATAATCAACACAGCTGCTTTCAAACATTTTGAAAGATATGTGCAACAGCGCCTTTTTAAGAAGGCAGTTGAATGACGGAGGCTGTGTTCATATGGTCCAACAAGTCTGTGGCACCTTTCCATATTTTGACGTGATAAACGCCATGTTGGGGCGCGTTAATCTGAGTCTGCACAGCTGCATGTAAAGTGGAATATTAGTGGAATATTCTTTTTTATTAGCCATGTAAACAGCTTCGTTCTTCAGAATAAGGCTAATGAACAGAATATTTTGTGCACGCAGTCACTGTGGTGTTACTGTTTGATTCTCTGCCAGGAATCTGTGGTGGATCCTGCACCTGCGGGGAAGTGTCTCCTGCAGGTCTTTAACGTGGCGCCAGGTAACGTGAGTCTGAAGATCCCCGGCAGCGACGTGTTCCCAGAGCCGATCCCAGAGCTTCAGGTAAACGGATGGTAGGAGGGAAAACAACTCGTTAAACTGAAGTTCAAGTCATCAGGTTTTGTTGCACACACACTTGCTTTTAGCATTTCAAACCCGAGTCAGGATTGTGGACCAGAGGTTCCCAGAGCTGTGAGTGTGCTGACCCGTGCAGGGTTTATCACTGCTTCACTCAATAATGTTATCTAACCAGGAAATGCCTCAGTCAGATAAAACTGTTGTTTTTCAGGAGTGTGTTGTCAAGGGAACAGCAGCAGCAGCAGATATCACAGAGAAGTTACAAAACATTTAAAGCAGATTTATGATATAAAGTATGAAGAGAATAAACAAGAGATGAACTGACAGAAACAAGATCAAGAGGATGATGTGAAACTGTCAGCGTTCAGAAATCATCAGGTACACAAACTGAACGTGCAGGATGTGTTTGTCTTTGGCTGAGTCGTGGAGACGTTTCAAACTTGTTTTGTTCGTCTGAACAGTTTGTATTTGTATTTCGATGATGCTGAACATGTGTTCACCACCACACTGAGCCACTTTTATTCAAAGAATATGCAACACAAGGGTTATGGTTTAGTTTTCTAAACATAACTATAACTGTATAAAAAGTTAAAGTGATAGATCTGATCTTGTGAGTGAGTGGGGTTGTATGAGCCACCTCCTCACACTTATTACACACATTAGACGTCAGTCAGCACACCTTTCGTTTAGACAAGCATGAAACATGGAGGCTAAGCAATAAGTCCCACCTAATAAATCATTTTGCAATAATTTCACCACTTGACATCAACCCTCTGGTGTCTCTGTGTCTCTGTGACAGGACCCTCCCAAATATGAGATGTTTCCAGCGTCCGGCGAGGACCTGAACATTGAAGTCACCTTGGGAGGAAAAACATCAGAGTGTAACTTCACGTTCGTCCAAAAGAAAGCCTACAGTCTCATCTTATACCCCGACGCTACTGGGATCCAGTGTGAACGAGTGAGTGACACATGTTTTCATATCTGCAGGGTTTTTTTTTTCCAGCTTTGAAAAAATAATGACTGAATAAGCAGCAGTCAGAGTTTAGGTTTGATTTACATCCTGAGTGGAGCACAGAAGTTACTGATCCCACCGACTTAAAACCAGTGAGTTAAAGTACAAATGAGTCCTGAGGAAACTGAACTTTATTATAACCTTGTCAGATAACTGTGTGCTCATGTTGGACCACATCACTTGGAGTCAGAAGCTGAATGAGCGACCCAGCAACCAGAATAAATGTTGGCGATGTACGATTCTGCAAAGCAAGATATTTTACATTTGTATGTTATTATGCAGCGGCTTCATCACACCGTGACCTCCAGCATGACCTGGGGCGCTTTGAGTGTGAAGCGGTCAGGATGAGAGTCAGCACCTCCAAATCTGAGGTCATGTTTGTCTGCTGGAGAACGGAGGATTGTTCCCCCTCGGTTGGGAGAGAGTTACTGCCTCAAGAGAAGGAGTTCAAGTATCTCAGGGTCTTGTTCACAGTGAGGGTAGAATGGAGCGTGAGATGGATCGGCGGTTTGGTGCGGCGTCTGCAGTGATGCGGGCGCAGCGCAGGACCATCGTGTTGAAGAGGGAGCTGAGCCAGAAGGTGAAGCTTTTGATTTCCTGGTCCATCTGCGTCCCAACCCTCACCTATGGTCATGAGCTCTGGGTAGTGACTGAAAGAATGAGGTCACTGATACAAGCGTCTGAAATGAGTTTCCTCTGTAGGGTGTCTGGGCTCAGCCTTAGAGATAGGGGGAGGAGTCATCTGGAGGGAGCTCGGAGTAGAGCAGCTGCTCCTTCATGTTGAGGTGGTTCAACATCTGATCAGGATCCTCCTGGTCCAGCTGGTAGGAGGCCCCGGGGCAGACCCAGAACACACTGGAGGGACTATAGATCTCATCTGGTCTGGGAACACCTCGGGGTCCTCCAGGAGGAGCTGGAGAGCGTTGATGAGGAGAGGGATGTACTCAGCCTGCTGCCTCTGAGACCTGGCCCCGGATAAGAAGATGAAAATGAATGGATGGATGTGGCAGATAAAATTTCATGTTTGTGTTCGCTTCAACAACACTGTGGTTAACATGTGGTGATGTTTAGGCACAAAAACTCTCGGTGTTGGTTTGGAAATATCGTGTTTTGGCTTAGAATACGTGCTTCAGTGGCACAATGTTGCCTGGAAACACAGCGATGTCTTGGTACATTAAAAAATGCCTCTGGTGGCTCTATCCCAGCAGGAAACACGGCGATGACTCATCAAATAAACGCCATGTTTGGTGTCTAAAAACTCAACGATGACTTGGTAAAAAAACATACTGTTGTTTGTTGGTCTTTAACGGCAGTCTGCAGTTCGGCAGGCGTCTCGTCCAGGTGAAACAACATCCCCTCTGCCTCCAAATGACAGTCAGCTCTTATACTACGTCACTTTAGAAACGTTGATACGATACGTATGAAACATCCAAATGTAACATGTCCATGGTTTGCAGAAACGAACGGCGCCAACATTTTTATCAGTCGACCAGGCTGGAGTGAGTCAACTGGTTTTAAGGGCCTTCAGGAAATAACATTCTCTGATGGTGACGGCTGATCTCTAAAATAAACAAGACTGTAAAGACAAAATATTAACAGTGATGCGTGGATAGAAATTCATCATGTACGTTGTTTTCATTCTCTGATCACTCAGGTGGAGGACTGCATCACCAAAAATAAAGACGGGAATCCTCTCCTCAGGTAAAATATGTTCACGACTCATCTTTGGTGCAAACGCTGTTGAAGTGTGAACTGTTTGTCCCTCGCTGCTGTAAAAGTGTCAGTCAGCTTAAAGTTTGTTGACGTCTTGTGATTGGACAGGTTCCTCAACACACAGCCGGAGGCCATTAACCTGACTGTTGGAGGCGTGGACTTCGTGCTGCCCTCTGGTTACAGCATGTCTCCCAACAAGACCGTGGAGCGAGGAGTGTGAGTATGACTGCAGGGCGCCGCATCCGTGTACACAGCCGAAACCATGACGCCACTTCCTGTGTAGACGCTTTTCAACTTGTAGAAGCTTCTTTATCTTTCAAAGTTGAAACTGAAGTAACTAGAAAAGTTTCCTCAGTAGAGTCCAGAGTCGTGTCCCCCCGCCCCGGCTGATTGCGGCCTCAGTAGGTAGTTCCTGTGACTCCAGCAGACGTGCCGCAGTGTGTTTCAGAAGCATCTCAGAAACTAATAACAATCCGCACATTGTCTGTTCTCCACAAAGCTGTAGCGTGTTGCAAAGAGACCATCAGTGTCTCCTGCTAACAAGCACCGTATGTGAAACATAGATCGCCTACATGTCAATTATTTATTTATTTATTTATTTATTTATTTATTTAAGGGACGATTCAAATGAATCCACATTTTTTCACATGTAAATGCACTTTACTTTTCTGAAGCCAGTTTTCATCGCTGCTCCCTCTCTCTCTGGCTCATGTCTCTGCAGCCTGAATTCTGACAGCGTGGATCATTTTCAGATTATTTCAGATGCATCAGCTGAAAACTGGTTTCTCAAGTCTGACTCATGTCCTCGTCTCCCCTTTCCCCTCAGAGTCTCTCACTGAAACAACAGCAAACATTTATCAAAATATAGTTTTAAGACTGAGAAATATCTTAAAGGGACAGTTCACCCCAAACTCATGAAAACATATTTTTCCTCTCACCTGTAGTTTGGCTGCGAGATACGGCCTAAACTAAAAAAAATGTTTATACCACACTTGACCTTTTTTTATTTGTCATTAATATTTTATCAAACTTTTTTGCTTTTTTTTTCTAACATGAACAGTGTCACCAAGTGTTAATAAATCAAATACATGTACACATATATGATTTTAAAAAGATCTATATTCTTACATAAACATGCACCACAATCTTTTTTTTTGTTGTTTGTTTCTTTATTAGAAACAAACTACAGAAGACAAACAAATAAGTCAATAAACTTTTATCTTAACAATAAAAAATAAAAAAAAATAAACACAATTTTCCTTTTTGGATTAAATAAAGTCTGAGCTGCAAACCTGTCAAAACCAAACTCACTTATTTTATTTAAATAAATAAAAGCTGCTTCCTCAAAAAAAAAAAAAGTATGTTTCCCTGAAGATGAAACACCTTTGTAAACAAATTAAACATGTCCAATGGCTATTTAATTTAATTTAATTTAATAGAGGAAACATTTATTAAAGTATAGCCGACAGTTTATAAACATATTTCTGCTCCATTGTTGATGTTGTTTAGCAGTTGTACGTTTTTTTAAAACTAATGATATAGTATCTATTGAATTTTATTGAATTTTGTTTTATTTTGTTTTCGATTTAATTCTTTTTTTTTAATTTTTTTTTATTTATTTATGGGCAGTCTTTGAAGATATTTTCTGGATGCTTGGGGCAGTATTATTATGGAACATTTGTCGAACATGCAGGAACATGCAACGTCTCGTAGAGGACGTTCCTTTTTCAAAAATACAGAGCAAAAAAATAGTCGAACACTCGAAGAGGAAAAATAAATAAATAAACAGAATAAAATAGACCGGGGGAGGTTTATATATATTTAAATAAATGAAAATAGTAAAGGTAAGTTAATGAATGAAAGCACCAGACAAACCAAGTCAACACTTATTTTTCTCTCCGTCCTGCTCGAGCTCATTTTTTCAGTGACGAGAAAAACAGCTTAATAAAGCAGTTAAAGGGCGGACTGCTCCTCCAGTTTAAACCTTCTCATCAGAAACACGAATGTTGGATAAATCTTCTTCTCACTGAAACTTCAATGCCCCAAAACTGATCCTGAGACTGGAACAGAGGTCGTCATATCTGACTGTGTTTTTTGTCCTTGTCTGACCTCTGACCTCGTCCTTCATGTGTAGATACACAGCCAGCTGCAGCTTACCCTCACGGGAATGTCCTGATTTGGACCTGGGCCTGCTGGACTTTGGAGCTGCCTACACGGTCGTACTCACAGAGGTCAGGATGCTCGCTGGACGTATTCATTCACTGATCCCACCGGTCGCCCACATCATGACTGAACCCTCTGTGTGTGTGTGTGTGTGTGTGTGTGTGTTTGACAGAAAGCAGGTAAAATCAGTGTTCACAAGATGGAGGATGTAAAAGCCAACAACGTGCACATCGCCTGGCAGATCCCTCAGTACGCCCTCATCACCATCGGAGAGGTCATGTTCTCCATCACAGGCCTGGAGTTCTCCTACTCACAGGTTGGTCGTCACACACACACACACACACACACACTCTGTCACTGCCCTCTGACACTCTGTCACCACACACTAACCCTCTCTGTTCCCTGCAGGCTCCAGCCAACATGAAGTCGGTCCTGCAGGCCGGCTGGCTGCTCACTGTTGCATTTGGGAACGTGATCGTGTTGATCGTGGCCGAGGGTGCAGGACTGAAGCAGGTATGATGTCATAGGAAGATTTTACAATCAGTTAAATCAATTAATTAATCAATTAATCAATTAAAGAAATAGATGCAGAGGTTAGAACCTCCCACCTCATTAACAAACACAGAAATACAGAATGGAGAAATTTTTTTATTATAATATTTTATGTATTCCTTTACACATTAATTTATTTTTAAAATTTTTTTCAACATTTATTCATTAATTATTTTATTTCTGTATTTATTTTAGCATTTATTTATTCTTTTATAAATCTACTCCTGTATATATTTATACTTTTATTTATTTCTGTATTTCTTTATATGTTCATTTATTTATTGTATTTTATACACTATTTATTTCCCTTTTCATTTACTCCTGTATTTATCATATTTTTGTATATTTAGCTGTTTATTTTTATTCATTTATTTATTACCTGATTTATTTATACTTTTATTACTGTATTTATTTTTTATTTCCTTATTTATACATATATTTAATTTATTTATATACTTATGTGTTTATTTAAACATTGATTTCTTTCGTTTTTTATTATTTTTTTACATTTATTTATTTTCCTATTTTATTCCTTTATTTTTTTATTACAGTATTTTTGTATTAAATATACATTTATTTATGTATTCCTGTAGTTATTTATACTTTTTTTTATTTACAAACTTATTTTTTCCGTATTTATCTATTTATTAATAAACATGAGTCATTTTTCATTCGTCCATAACTAACCCGCGTTTGTTTCCACAGTGGAAAGAGTTCCTGCTGTTTGCCAGCCTGCTGCTGGGCGTCTGCATCATCTTCTCCATCATGTCCTACTTCTACACCTACGTGGACCCCGATCAGCTGGACAAGGTTTACCTGGAGGACTCAGGGAGGGAGGATGACGACCGCGATGACGACAAAGTGAAGAAAAAACCCAACGACGTCCCCATGATGAAGACAGGGCAGAGCACCAGACTGTGACGGGGCCACATCACGTCCTCCATCGTCTCTGCTGCAGCGGGTGTGTGAGGACTGGAGAGGTGATGTGAAGGTACCGTCTTTACTTAAGGAAGGTCTCTGTGATGGTGAAGCACTAAGACGTGATCGTCAGACGTTTGTCACATTAATTAATATATTAGTGAAACTTTAACACCGTGATCAAGTGTTACTACAAATGAATGTCAGACATTATAGCTGTAAATATTTGTTGTGTATTAACTCCATGTCGATGTTTTATTTTCTATGACGCTAAAGAAAAATCAGAACCTGCTCAGTCTTTGATGAAACACGTTGGACAAATGCTTCAGTTTGCATTGTGGTTGTAACAGTGACACTAAAAGGACCAAAGCTGCTGCTGGTTCTGCATGTTGGAGGCCGCTTGTTTGAAGTGTAGTAGAAAACATTAACGTGACCAAGTGAAGAAGCTGCTGGAACTTTCTAACGTCTGTGGAGAATCATTTTTCCTCAGGTCTTAAAATGTGTTTGTCTTGTTGTGTTATTGGGAGCCAGAATAGAAGGAGTCATGGCTCAAAACCAGCCGCCACTGCCCGTCAACAAAAACAAAGACAACTATGGTTAAATGTGATAAGACCAAAGGACTGGACGGAGGCCATCATCAAAAATGCTAACATGTGCAGCGCACACTTCATATCAGGTTAGGGAAAAAGTATTTCCTGTTGTAGGGATGAATAAGGTTATGTGTATTAAGGGTTATCATGTCCACCTCATCAGAAACTGGGGAGGGATTAAGAGGAAGATTGGATTTCTCTGCAACGCTAACTTTTTAGCACATTAGCTAACGTTAGCTTCCATAGCAAAACAAACAAGTGTGGTCCTCCTTTGTAAGATTGGCTTCCTGTGACATCATCCATCCACTGAGTGAGAGCATACGGGTCGGCCAGTCTGGTCCCGTTGGTCAGTGTTTACTTATTCAAGTAACACTGGCGGGCCCGGAGAGTGAGTGACCTGACATGGTGCGTTGGTAAATTCAGTCTGACGCTCTACACTAAAATGAGAGCCCTGTTGGTGGAAGAAACGCAGCGTTATATTTCTACATGAATGAACCAACGGTTAAGTTAATCACACATTCACTCCGCTCGGCGCTCTGCTGCTCCGTCTCCACAGACAGAGTGTCCAGAGTGCGCTCTGCCACTCTGAGAGTGCGCTGCTCTGGATAACCCAACGCTACATTCAGACAGCGCTCCCAATTTATCAACGCTCCAGTTTGTGTCAGAGCGCACTGTGGCTATTCAGAGAGACACAAGTCATCTTCATCCATTGTCTAAAACAGGCCAACAGAACTATGGAGAACTGTTTTGCCTCCAGCTAAGCTCCGCCCACCAAAAAACGTCATACTGTTTACTAACAGTAAAAGTGTCTATACAGGGTCTCTGCAGGTTTCAACAAGTCAAATTTAAGACTTTTTTAAGACCATAATGAATACAATTTAAGACCCATTTCACATCGATAAATTCGATAAATTCTGACCGGGCAGCACAGGTAGCCTACTTCAGTTCCACTTTGTAGTTACGTTATAGCGTCCTCAAAAATCGAAACATTTAAAAGCGAGACTGAAGTTTATGCATGTTTTAAATAAAAGTAACGTCAATAGATTTTTAAGACCTTTCAAAATCGTATTTAAGACCTTTTATGAGATTTTATGAGAATTTTAGACATTTTAAGGCCTTAAATTCAAATTATTGGATTTAAGACTTTTTTAGACTTTTTAAGACCCCGCGGATACCCTGCTATAGGAGCGTCCTCTCTCTGAAACGACCTGTGATTGGTCAAAGTCTCCTGTCACAGATTTTCTAAAGCCTAAACCCAGAGCCAAGAGGAGGAGCAGGAGTCTAGTTTCCTCTCAGACCACTTCAGTCACGATATGCTGAAAGCTTATTATGGGATGTTTGTCCACTGACAGCAGAGTAAACCTGCCTACCACACCTTTAAGTCCTGTGAATGTGATGTGTAGTTGAAACATGCAGAACCAACAGCTCGGTCCTTTAAAGCCATAAAATAAAATACTTGATGGTGTTTTTGTTTACTGTGGGAAAGTACTGATGAAGCTGCTCCCTATAAAGTTCTGTAAATAGACAGCTGATGCTGAAACTTGTTTTTGTGCTGTTTGAAATTTTAAAGATTAAAATGTGCATTGGTATCAGTTTTCTCCACTGCAGTGACTGAAACTATATTTTCACGTATGGTGTGACACCTCAGGTCTCTAACATGCAGGTCACGTCAGTAGAAAACAAAGCGCAGGACATCCAATGTTTTAAATATCATATTTATTGTTGTCGTACATGGGCAGCCTTCCTTCCTCTCTTAGATGTGGCAGCAGACTGTTTTCATTCATCGCTCCCGACGTGGCGTTCATCCATCACCGGAACATTAGCATCGGCCCTCTGTGGTTGTTCAATGACAATTTTCATAAGTAAATGACAGGGGAACATTACGGCCCAAACAAATGTTCACATCTCAGCAGTATTATGTTGAATTATGCGGCGTATTAGCATAGTGAATTGATTTAAGTGGTCATTTTTCTTACTGTGGAGCAAACAAACAGGATTAGTACGTGCAGGACAACAATCAGAGGAAATGTTAGAGCGGCTCGTTGCGTCACTCGTTTTGGTTGAGAGTTCTCGTATCTGGGGTTAATCTCAGGGGGACCGTGACAGATGAGAGGAGGAGGAGGAGGAGATCAGGGTGAAGGTCTGCACTGATATACGTCCTTCCTCTCTCACTTCTTACTGATGACAGAGCGTTACATATAGCATGGAGGATAGATTTCTGCAGCCAGAGTTTTTTCACAGCTCTTCATCACTGTAGACTTCCAGAGCAGAAAAGCTAAGACAGCCTGACATCGCTCCTGAAGCTCAGACCATCACCAGTGACATGAAGAGCTTCGGACTCATGAAATGTTGTTTATGGATTATTAAAGGGTCTGTTTATACCGTTTAGACAAGATCCTGTTGCTTACGCTCTGTTGCGCCTCGTAGCCGCAAGAGAGTGCTTAGACACTGACTAAAAGAGCGACTGATCGTCATCACGTTGATAAAATGCTGGAAAATAAATGTTATGTTCCCGTTAGTATTTGGACCGCTGCTTGATGGCTTGCTGTTTGCAAATTACTTTATCAGCAACCAACTGCAGATCCATGTGGAGTAGCTGTTAGCACCTTACGTTAGCTGGTGAAGTAATTTGGAAAGCTAGCCATGTAACTAGTATTTTGCTAGCAATAATTTTAGTGAGCAAACAAGCTAAGTGAGGCAGCTAGCTGTAACTAAGCTACGCTGTGTTGATCTGAGTGGGTGAAACTGCAGCTGAAGCAGCTACGTGACTTTCCCACCATATCTACATGTCAGTCCACGATCAACCCCCTTCGCTCTCGGCCAGGAAGCGGAAGTCCCAACAAAATTGCTAAGTTAGAGATTAGATAGCTATGACGTATTTCGTTAAAAGAGAGGTGGTTAAGGTGAGAGTAAGGGCTACATCTCGTTATTTTTATAAAGAATCACGTCTTCATGTTTTATGACTTATAAAGTGGATTAATGCGACATTTGGTCTTGTTTATTTACTGCACTCAGTCCGTTTCCATGGTGACAGTGAAGTGGAGCTCCAGCTCCAGCTAGACGAGGACATCTAACTGGCCTACTGTCCTTGTCCCAGTATACAAGCACGGGAGGGGAATCCATTTATTGAGCCAAGTATGTGCGACTCCTCTACGATAGGTGGAGATATGCCCCCTTTCAGCTTGTTAGTATTGGACCTTTTTCCTGTTGAGTTTTAGTAAAAAAAAAAAAAACAAACAGTAATTGTATGATGTACAAATGGTACCTTTAAAGCTAAGAGGGTGTTGTGTCGCTGTGACTTCCTGTGTGCCTCTCCAGTAAAAGCTCAGTGACACGGGCGATGACATCAGGGTGCACCAGGCAGTCTAACAGGTCATCTGTTGTTATTGTTGTGTGTATTGATTCCTCGTAATCGCCTGAAGAGTCCTCTGACGTCCCCTCTGCACAGTCACATGACCTACACTGAGTTACACCACAGTATTCCTGGCGCAGTCTGACAGCAGCTGCAGACTTGGCTCTTGGTGCTTCATCCGAGCCAACAGCGCGCTCCTCTTGACACCTGACATCACACATCCTGGAGGATCTGACCTCTGGAGCTTTTGTGATTTTCGGCATGTGCTCCCGCTGACAGCGTACAGGGATGAGGTTTGGTCCGAAGGGAACACTGAAGGGCGCAGGATCCCCGACCACATCGCTGTTTTTCCTGATTTGTCCTCTGGAGTCCCGCTTGGCTGGACGGGCGTCTCTCGGGTGCTGGGTCAGCTCGCCGTGGCAGAGGCTCCTCGGTCTGTCAGCACAGGCTCTCACTGCCAGGTTCACACACTGCATGTTCTCATTATGGGATGCGACTCCTTCCTGCAGAGACAGAACAGAAAACAAGCTGTTGCAGAGAGTTCCCCAAACACCAGCTGCCTGATAAAAAGCCGCCTCCAGGACGCTGATGTTTACTGTGGGTTTGAATCAAACATGGTGGGCCTGTGATTACAACCTTAACACCCCTTATTTGAGTTCTGTCACAGACAGATTTAAAGTCTCTGAAGTTTTGAGAGGGAACTTCTCCTGCACTGAATTTCAGAAAAAGGAAGCACAAGTAGTGGAAAAAAGAATCAACTCAGGAAGTCCCTGAATCTGTAGTTTGAAAATGAACAAATCATGTAGACAGATATTTATTCTTCCCTAAGTTGCTTGTTATTCTCCAGGAAAAGCAGCGAGACAAAAACCTGCTGTGGATTAATTTTACGTCCTGCTAACTATACTGAAACATGGAGCTTTGAGCCTGCAGTTTCTATCTGTGTGTGTTTTACCCTGTATTACATTCAATATTCATCTGTTGAAGATGTCACATGCTGCATGTAGCACGGCAACAGTATGAGATTTTCACAATACGATAACCGTCTCAGAAAATATCACAGTTTAACGTTATCACAGAATTGATCTGATCATCAGTGAGAATGATAGCATACCTTATAACTGGTATATCACTGCATCCCCAGCTGTAAATATCAGCTCTAGGTTTCATGGAATTTTTGACTCTGTGTCCACCAATACCCTAAAAAATATTTTATGGTTCTTTAAATTGATGGAATGTTAGAGCTGGGAAATAAATCTGGCATTATAAAATAAAGTCCCCTGAACTACACTGACTTATTTCTATATTTATAGATATTTATTTTAGATATTTATTTATTTCAGGATTTATTTCTTAGACATATGTAAAGTTCATAAAACTTAGTTTAGTTAATCATGAGAAAAACAGCGATGAAAAGTAGGCTACAGTACGAGGACTTTGATATACACTCATTGGACACTTTATTAGGTACACCTGTGCAACTGCATGTTAACGCAAACAGATAATCAGCCAATCAGGTGGCAGCAGCTCATTAACATTCAGTCATGTAGACATGGCCAGACTGGTTCAAGAGGACAGAAGGGCAACAGGAAGTCAAATAACCACTGGTTAAAAAGGCGGTCCAACCTGGAGATAGCAAGGTGTGTGGTCGGTGAGTGTATAATTCTTAATTATATATCATTATCAAATCACTTTGATGCTTTGAAGGCACAACAGTTGCATTGCCAATGAGTATTGAGTTGGTTGCTGGTTTAACAGCTGGTGCGTCACTAGAGATGTATGGTCTCTGTTAACATGCTCAGACTGAACAGAACCCTTGTTTCAGTGAGTATGTGAGACACACCACAGTAGAAACACTGACAATACTTTTTTTAAGGATTATTTTCATTGTTGATTAATCTGTCAGTTGTTTACATGATTAATTGATTAGTTGCTTAATCTATGAAATAGTGAAAAATGTCGATCAGCGGTTCCCAAAGCTCGAGGTGGCGTCTGCTAACGTCTTGTATTGTCCACAAGAGAGGAGAAACCTGCCCTTATTTAAGATATCTGTGCACAAAAGTATTTGTCATTTCTTTTCTTTCATTCTGTGTATAGTTGTGTTTTTGTACATTTGTATAATATCTGTTCTCATGTATTGATACTTGAGGATGTAGTGAATAGTACAATGATCATAGGACAGGTCTCTTGGAGGCCGTTTACACATAGCCGGCTATTTTCATAAACGGACATTTCACCGTCTCCGTTTTCAAAAAGATCTTCGTTTACACTTACCCGTGTATATATACACAAGAGCATGCCAAACCTGTAGGTGGCAGTGTAACGAGAAGCTCAAGCCTTCCATGTATCCAATGTCACCATAGCAACATAGGTCGCACTTTTTACACAGGCGCAAGTTCCGGCGCATAATGTGACGTCGACTGCCTATAACTCCGTTTATCTCCGTTTATCTCAGTTTACATGCAAACGCGCAACCAGAGTTTTCCAAAATCTCCACTCTGGCCGGAGTTTTTAGAAAGACTCGTTTTCAGAGGAGAAATCTCCGTTTGCGTGTAAACGAAGGGCACAAACGAAGGAAGATGTCTCCGTTTATCAAAATCACCGTGTACGTGTAAACGGCCTCTGAAGCTCTCATGTCAGAGGCACTGATGAAAGTTGAGGACTGAAACCTTTGCTGCTGTTTTTACTCTTTATCATTTCTTTTGCACTTAGAGCACCTTCTTGTGCACAGGTTTGGATGACATAATCATACATCCAGCCCCAGCCCCCCTCTCACCTCCCTCCCACTGACTCCCATTCTAAAAAAATATCAAAAACCACACATTTTGATCCAGTTGTTAATGCTAATAAAGAAGAAACACACAATTTCTCTATTGTCAGCGGTTTCTCTGTTGTGAAAGAGGTGTGCCATAGAAATAAAGGGAAAATGAGAGTCCACAGGCTGGTAGTTCACCTCCTCCTTCTCCTCCTCCTCCTCTCTGAGGCACTGTCTGTCTCAGGTGGAAGTCTGTCTGAATCCAGCCTCCAAAATCATGTCTGTGGCTTCAGTGCCGGCCAGTCTCTTCTTTTTTCTCTCTGCCATTTCTCTTTGTCTTTTCCTCTGACTGTCTTGGGAAAAATGAGCTCTGTACTCACCCACCTCAACTCTACACTGCATTTTTGTAAACAAGATGGAGCTTTGTTTTGGTGACCTCAGCACTGTTATTAGGGGAAACCTTTGACGTGCTGCAGGCGCAGTGAGTGAAGGAGTCCATTGATGGAATATGAACTGGAACCCCTTGATTACAATTTTTGACCTCTTTCACACCAAAGGAACCCCTGACAACAGAGAAATATTGTTTTCTTTTGCTGCAATGGCAGTGGGATCAAAATGTGTGGGTTTTGGTGTTTTTTATAATGGGAGTCAATGGGAGGGAGGTGAGAGGGGGGCTGGGGGTGGGAGTAGGATCATGTCATCCAAACCCCCTTTGGTGGGGATCACTGGCCCATGTAGCCCTGTAATAAGCACCAACATGATCCACCGCAAAATTATTTTTGTGTCCCAAACCCCCTCTTGTGTGTTTTTGCCACCCAGCAGCACCCAAACGTGTTCAAACTGGCCTGAAAGGGTTAAAATCTTGAAACCCACGGCAAAAGTGACTTTTAAGTTTAGCTAAGACCTAGAAAGGAAAAATCAATACAGAAAAGTTTTGAAATAGTACTTCAAAAAACATATTTAGGGCGAAGTATTAGAGGTGGACATTCTGGTCCACCTCTAAAAACGATGGATCGTGGATGTTGTTGAATTTGATAACAAGCCCAAAAAATGGACTTGCATGCTGAAAATTGGGACCTCCAGAGCATACCCAAAAATCACCCCCCTATGACCTTTCGTTTGACTGTGAGGAGTCTGGGAAGTTGGGGAGGTGGACAAAAATGTCCAGGGGTCATCCAAGGGCTAGAGAAGGTCCATCTCAGGAGCAGCTCAGCATGGCATGGCACCTTTAAACTGATAATGCAAAAGCAAATCGGCGCAGCATGGCTTGACTCAGTGCGGCCAAACATGACGATGGAAAAGACCCAATAGTGAGACGTGGGCAGTAAACAGAAGAGTTTTCAGACACCATCTTGGTGTGAAACATGAACCTGTGAATGTTTTACTACAAACTGTGTTTTGTGTTTTTCTCCTCTTGGGTGGCTGCATCACTGAAATCACAACATTCATATCCTACCTCAGTAGGATTGAGCCAGTCGCCAGTGTTGTCGTCACTTTTAAGGGCGCAGACAACAGCCTTGGTCACAGCTTCCCCAACTCTCGCCACGTCATCCACTTCCTGTGCAGGAACAGAGCGGCGAGCAAAGAGTGAGTGAGTGAGTGCTGCACATCCAGATAATTACACTGAGACAGAGACGCAGGCTGCAGCTCAGCGTGTTGTGTCTGTGACCTTGCAGGGAAAAGCTGGAGAGGAACTCGCTCTTCAGATAAACATTTGTCTGGCTGTGGAGCTTTTCATGCGGCATGTGCTCCATGTTGTGCACACACACACACACACACATTCATCATAATGACGGGATCTTTTTACTGCCAGGCTGCTTCATTACTCAGAGCTGAGAGGGGCTTTTGTCTGAACTCTGTTCGCATCAACCTGAGAGGAGGAGAGCTCAAGTGTCTCCAGTGATGTCACAACATCATCACACATTTAAGTTCTGAGCTGAGTATCAGGAGGAAGGAGAGACGTGTTTGTGCTTCTTACCAGCTCGATCCAGGAGTTGACACTGACAGTGACGGGATCCACAGACTCCACGTAGTGCCACCAGTGTCTGGGGACGTACAGCACCTGAGCAGAGGAGATAAAACTGATTAACAGTTCAGTGACATCATCGCCTTCTCTCTTCCCTTCTGGATAAACGTTAGCCATCCGGTTCCTCCACTAGATGGCAGCATACACCTTCCCCCCCACAGACTGTCAGGGGTTCATCCCATCATACAGTGATTCTATTAAAATGGGCGGGGCTTATTGATCCCCTGCCTCCTCAGCAGAGCCGCTTCATTCATGGTCTGCAGTCTGACAAGACAGGAGGAACGATGTGTCCTGTGATTTGATTTGCAGAGGTGGAGCCGACCTGTAGGGTCAGGATCTGCCTCCAGTACATGACCACCTCACTGCGGGTCTAAAGGACCAGACTCAGGTCATGTGATAACACCTGAGCCAGTTCTATTATGAGAGGATTATGGGCCCCTGGGCACAGACGTGCAGAGGGCCCAAACACCTCTCCTTCACAGGAGCAAGACTCACAGACTTTATACACATATAAAGTTTATACACAGACTTCAGAACTGAAGAAGCTTCTTGGATGAGAGGCCAAACGTCTTTAAGAAACTCACGCACGTCCAGTTGCCTACGATACAACACTTAGGATTACCATGATGACTGAGAATCTTCACCGACAGACTTCATAGCTGCTTCGCCTCTTTTTGTTGTTGTTTGTTTGGCGTCTCTTTGTAGTTGTTGTGCATCTCTCTGTGGTCATTTTGTGTCTCTTTGTAGCTTCCTTTTGTGTCTGCGGTTGTTTTGCCGCTTGTTGTAGTCTTTTTAAATTTCTTTGTAGTCATTTTGCATCTCTTTGTAGTTGTTTTGTGTCTCTCTGTGGTCATTTGAGTCTCTACATATTTCTTTTGTGTGTGTTTGAAGTCAATTTTAATCTCTTCAGAATTATTTTGAATCTCTTTGTGGTTGTTTTTTGTCTCTTCATGGTCATTTTGAGTCTCTTTTTATTCATTTTGAGTCTCCTTGTAGATGCTTTGAGTCCCTTTGTGGGTGTTTCGTGTTTATTTGTGATCTTTATTCCTTTTATGTGTCTTTGTGGCCAATCTTAGACTCTGTAGTGGCTTTGCATCTCTCTGTGTGTCTTTGTGGAAGTTTTGCTGCTTTACATAGCTGTATGTCTCTTTGTGTCTCTTGCAGCTGTTTTGCATCTCTTTGTAGTTATTTGTGTCTCTCTGTAGTAGTTTTATGTTTCTTTGTAGTAGTTTTGTTTCTTTGTGGTTTCTTGAGTCTCCTCCTGGTCGGCACGTGTTGATTTGACCAACACTTTGCAGAAGAAGGTCAGAACTGTAACTTTAGACACCTGTGTCTGAGCCTGTTCGACCCCTTTGTTGATCCATCCATGAATTCCAGTTACTACATGACGACTGTGAGATGTTGATGAAGTCACTGATCACCTCCAGTCTCTCCTCATGCACCAGCTCAGGCTCTATGATCATAAAATGAAGGTCTCCTGACTGTTCAAGAAACAAATGAAGCATCAGTAGGTGGTCTTCTCTGGAATCCCCTTCCTATCCACATTTAAAGGATGGCCTGGTTGACTCATTCAGACGTAAACTGAGCTGTCGCCTCATTCAGTCCACCCTGTGCACTCAACTACAGTTATTCAGTTTATGTTCAGTTTTCTTTGCACATGGTTACACACGTTACACATTATATTTTTAATGCCTCTGTGCTGGCGATAGTCGTAGCCGGAGGTGTTCTGTTTTCAGGGCTTCTGTCCGTTCGTCTGTCCCATTTTTGTGAACTGATATCTCGAACGCTTTGAGGGAAATTCTTTAAATTTGGCACAAATGTCCACCTGGACTCAACGATGAGCTGGCACACGGGGGCGTACAGCTGTGGAACGGTAATTCTAATTCTGTCTGTATCCAGGTATAAATGTACTATATGTAATTTATGTGCATACTGTGTATTGTTGTATTTTACTGCAGATTTTCTTTTTTAAAAAGTATTTCAAACATTTTTGTTATAATATTCTCCGCATAATTTATCTTGCTGTTTTCATTCTTATACATTTTGCTAATGATCATTATTCCTTTATTTTATGTGCAGCCATTTGGGACAGACTGACTTGACTTGAAGCTCTGAAGGCTTGGAAATAGACCTTTTCCTCCTGATGCTCCCAAAGGTTCAGAACGAACATCACGGCTCCAAATTACTTTGAGTCTGGTGACTTTGAGTCTACCTTGATGGACCTTTAGTGATTAAAAAGTAGCTGGTAAAACTGAGGAAATTAAAGAGCTGGGACTGTTTGGCCATCATCATTTCCATTAGGTGGAATCAGTGTAAATGACTTTGTGAAGCATCAGCCGTAACCCCGACCCACACACTGCTCCACCAGCCTTCAGAGCTAGGTGACAGCTGGCGTTGGTGGTGCTGATAGGAGCGTATTTAGTGCACCACAGGAGCTCAGGCGCAGGCAGATAGTGAAAAGAGACAGATGGCTAATTGCTTTGTCACCATTTTGACTCTTGGGGAACAAAACAATGCAGCTGGAATCTGAAACAAGTCAAAGTGGGACACACACATCAAAGAGTTCCACAGTAATTCAGAGTTGGGAAACTACTTCAAAAGTGGCTGAGGACATTTCGGAAAATTAGGGCACCGTGACAGCCACCCTCTGATTGCACAACACCTCAATCATAACTCTGAGTCCCTCTGAACTCACCTGGCTGTGAAGCAGAGCAGAGGACGGGAACTCATCTGCTCCGTCAGTCCATCTACTGAACTTGACCCTGTTACTTTTCTCCTGACAGGACGTCGAGAGTGATGACGCAGTTTAACCTTCCACTTCCACATACAAGCTCCGGTGTATTGATGGCGAGGAGCTTTAAGTGAGAAGGCCAAATTTTAATTGGGACACAAGTCACGACCGTTGCGTTGCTTCACACTTTTATGGAGGACACCACGACAAATAAATCTCACTGTTGAGTCTGCTTTTACATGTTTGCAGCTTAGGAACCAATAAAGCTTTATTTTATGGTTATTGCTTTCTGTGTCACGAGCAGTTCATCATATAAACGCAGAGCTACGGTGTTGCATAACATCAAGCTTCAGCACATTACTCAGGGTGGTTTCCCAACGTGTGAAACACACGACCGATTAAATTAACAAGAGGTGTTTGATGTCTTTTAGTTTTATGTTTGATAAGAAAAATGACACTGTACACGCAGCCCACTGTTGAGTATGGAGAACATACAACGTCTGCAGAGAGATGATCTTTGTAAGTCTTCTTTCAGAAGTGTATAAAGCGTTGCACCTAAAGTTTATTTTCATTATCGAATAATTTGCTAATTATTTTCTGAATTAATTGAGTCTTCTTTCCCACGAGAACCAGGAGACATTTCATACCTCAAGAATGACTTAAACACTCATCAGTTACCATGATAGCTGCCACTTCATTCTCTGTCAGTCAACTACACGTCTAATTAACAAACACTCCAGCTCGTCTTGTTATAGATTTACATTTTTTAAAAAGTCTGTTTTATGAAACAGACTTGTGATTTGTTTCACAAGCACATTATTATTATTGTTACCTACCTACAACTAAATTAAAGAACAATGAGAATTTAATCATTATTGTATCAACCAGGGCCATTGTACAGCCTGTGCTCAGCGCCTTAAGGTGGATTTATACATGTGTGTCTATGCAGAGCCTACGCCACTGTGAGCATTTATACTTGTGCGGTGTCTGTGTCACTCTACAGTTACACCTCCAAGACACTAGTTGGTGGTAGAGTTTCTGAGAAGTGCTGTAAAGTTTGACTGATGGAAAACACACATTAAACACACATTAAACACGGCTTAATAGAGACAGTTTCAAACACAACTCAGCTTCACTATAACTCGCAGCATTCACAGACAAACACTTGTCTTTATCTGGACACATTTCCCCACAAATACAACATGCTAACGTTATTAGCACAAGCCTATGGCATTTTACATTGTATAAATTAGCCTAGCAGCTAGCAGAGATTTGCTCTGCTCATATTTCAGCCAGGATAAATCACACACAGTGTGTGGAGGCTTTATTGTCTTCACAATTTATTGTTTCTTATCTGTGAAATTAAAGTAAATCAAAGCTTTGTTTCCACTGAGGGAAATGGTTTCAGCTCACAGAGACAGACAGGACGTCTGCATCACTGTGACGTGGAGTTACATTTCTGGGGAGGTGCACATCAGGCTACAGCGTAGGATACGGTGTCGATTCGATGCAGAAGTCCAACTCAAGTGTTTTGTGCTGTGCTTATGCCTTATTAGAGATGTACAGATACCACTTTTTTCTTCCTGATATCGATTCTGATCGCTGAACCTTAGGTATCTGCCGATACCGAGTACCAATCTGATAGCAGCGCGTAAAATAACAATGGATGGGATATGAATTGTTGTATGTCTCAACTCCTAAAACTCTGTGTAAAATATTAAGAAATAAATACATAATAGTAGAATGAATGCCATAAAACTTTTTTAATTATTATTATCCAGTGTTGACACAGATCAAGACACAGGTTAAAGTGCAGCCACACAATTTGGTAAAAAAGACATTTGACATGAATGCTTTTTAAACTCTGCTCAGTTTCCGTTTCGTTTGCCTGTAGCGTGCATATGCGTAATTACGTGAGGCATTACCTGGTATCGGACTGGTCATAGGCTGTACTCGCTGATACCAGATACCACATTTTAGGCAGTATTGGAGGCATTTCCAATACTGGTATCGGTATTGGTACAACTCTATGCCTTATGAATGTGAAACAAGCTGTGAGGAGCATGTGGACATGAGATGTACTTCCCATGTTTGTTGATTACTTCGTTCCTGTCTAAAACCCCCGGCAAAACCAACAGGCTTGTGTTTATGTGGCTTAACTTGATATGACAACTTGATATGACAACTGGCTTTTCACCTTCACCTTCAACTTGATTTGTTTTCCTCTCAGCTGTGCACCAATGTGACAGTCCTGACGAACGCTGAGAGTGAAACCTAAGCTGCCATTGTTTCCTTGCACTTCTTTCAGATGGTTCCATTTTCAAGATCTTTCCTTTCTTCATAACCTGTGATAAGAAACTCTTCACTGAAAGAGCAACATCTTACTTTGTCATGAAATTAAATTGAACACCTTGAGACAAACTGATTTAATATATCGGGTCATTTTTTGCACATTTTCAGGTAGCAGCTGACAGCTCTGACAGTTCAGTCTTAATTTAATCAGACCCTGTGGAATTTAATGTGTGTGGAGCAGCAGGAGGAAATGTTTGAGCCCTTGTATTTCCACAGCGTCAGTCTCCTTCTACTGTGCATCAGTTAAAGTATTATGTCCTTATTTGTGAGTGCTGAAGAACTAGGTCCGTACCCATAACACTCTCGCGACACTAGAGTTGAGCACACCAGTTACACATACATGTAAACCAAAAACTGAAAGGATGCAGAAGTGATCAAGTTCAGCCCATAACATGACTTCTGTGCTGCATTATATTCTTGTATGGTAAAACATGTGTGTAAGGAATCCTGACCTGTCCCGGCTGCAGAGTGACGACGTGCGTTCTGGCTCCCTGAAAATTAGGGAACCTCCTCAGGTCTGGGTGGAGAACATCCACTTGGCTGAAGATGCTGGACTCCTCATAGGGGATCCTGGTTGGGTAGAGTTTAACAGTGTCGTCTGGAGGGAAGAGGTGCCAGCGCTTCCTACGCACAGGAGACATCACAGTTAGATATGAAGTCAGACAGAAAGACTGTTAGAAATTAATTCAGTACTTTTATTAGTAAATACAAGAAATTGACAGCAATGGACCCAGAATTGATTTGCATCAGGTGGTCATCTGTTGACAAGTGGTGACATCATTTGTTAGGTCACAAAATCATGGCACAGCCCTGGATTCACAGAGTATGGCTATAGCTGTCACTTGTCAGTGTGTTTTCAGTTCTTGAAAGTGAAATTTTGGTTGCCCAATAGTTTTGCTCAACGTTGGTTGGACTTCAGACCCTCTAAGGATTTGGATGTTCCCTTTTTCCAGTAAGTACATTTTGTTTTAATGGTTTCAAGCTAGTTACTTCTGGCTCTAAAAATCACGAGGTAGTTTTGAAACTCGTGGCTTCAAAACTAGAGTGCACAATCCAGTGGGTGACGTCATGGTGGCTACTTCTATTGTGGTATACATACATTCACCAGAATCAGAATTCCAAATCTTTTTCATTCTGGACAATCATAAACACTTCTGATTTTAAAGATGAGCCACAGGAAGATCAGCGGTGCTTTGGGGCTCAGCCAATTAGGATCCTAACAAATAACAAACAGGGTCACCTGCAGATCCATCACTATAAAACAATCCCTTCAAAGTCAAATTAATTCTACTACAAACATTCATCCTGAATAATTTGGGTGTTGTTGTTGTAAAAACTGTGTCATTATTGTTTTGTGTTGACAAATGTCGTCATATCGATCAGCAGCGTCGACGAACAGCTCTGGCTGAATTTCATTCCCTCTCAGATCAATACCAACTAAAAGAGTCTGCGGGCCAATTACAAGGAGTGAGATAAACTGTTGCTCTGTGGTGGAACAGTGAGATAAGACACCAACAGACCTTTTCCCTTTAGTTTCTGGACTCGCAGTGCTCCATATAACGCCTCACCCTCAGCCTCCTTTTACCTCGCTCTCAGGTGAGCTCTGCCACAAATTAACTCTCCTTCAGAGGACAGTCACACTGTGTGAGCACTAACAGCACCCTGCTGCACCTTTCCTGCTGCTGAACATCTCCATGGTTTGTTACTTATCAGAGGAGGGGGTGGCTGAAGTTACATATAATTTTGCCTGAGTGAAAATGCACGACCCCTTTCTTCCCCATAAATAACCATATATTTAAATACCAACCCCAAAGGCAGGAGTCAGAGCTAACACAAAAAACAAACAGCACAGAGGGAGTTATCACCACAACAAACGGCCACTATCTTCAAATGTAAATCCTCTTTACAGATCGCATCATCACACCAGCTGTGTGTGCACTTCAGCAGAATATGGGCTCATGACCAAAAAACCACTAACATTTAATAAGCCTACACACACACACACACACACAGTGCACACAGTCGCCATCAGCAACATGTGCATATTAACTGTAACATCACAACAGTGGCAGCAGCGGTGAGATTAACATCTGTAACTTGGCACAGCAGCCTTCATTAGTTCATGAAAACGCCTTGATAATCAAAAGTTAAAAATGAAATCCTAGAGTTGAGAGAACTCCCAGTTTCTCACTGTTGTCATGCAGGCAGCCAAATGAAATGGTTTTTAGTGCAAAAGGTTTATTATGAGTACAATTTTAAGCAAGGTGTAGAACACAGTGATTATGATGAAATGTAACTGTTTAAACTCAGATTTAATTATGTTTCCTAAAGGAAAGCTTTTGCCGCACACAGGAAGGGGAATCGAGAATTGGCTCCAGCTGAGAATCGATAGCAAACTGGAATCAGAATCGTAAGCCTCCAAGCTTATCAATACCTTTTGTAAATGCACAAACCCATCACTACAGGTGTGACAGTGCAGTCTCCTCTCAGTAGGTATACTGGATCTTTCTCTAACTGTTTTCTCTGTTGCTAAAATTGAAAATGAATGTACACTTCTGTTTTAGAAAACCAACGGTTACTTAAAGCTCCAGTGCAGGAGAGTACAGGAGGATGTACTGGCAGAAACTGAATATAATATCATCAGTGTGTTTTAGTGTATAATGACCTGAAAATAAGAACTGCGTTCTCGTTCCCTCAGAATGAGACGTTTATATCTACACAGGGAGCAGGTCCTCGTCTACAGAGATCACCATGTTGCCCCGTCATGTTTCTACAGTAGCCCAGAACGGACAAACCAAACTCACTTTTTTGCATCAGCCACCATAGTCAACTTAGCAGACCCTCCACGACAAGTGGCGTAAAAAAAAACCACACAGATTTTTTTTTTTACCTGAAACACTTTACTGGTTTATATCAACAGGTCTGTTTGTTTTCTTCTAACCAGGAGTGTCAGCTGGTTGTAATCTGTAATCCTCACTGATAGATTCAACTAAATCCCTCTAAATCTGACACACTGGACCTTTAAGGTTCTGGTTCCAAACCTGGGGGTCACCAAAACTTCATAAGGTGTCGCAAGACCTTCTTAATTTTAGGGGTGTTAAGAAAACTACAAACATAAATACACAGTGGGCCTATGTTTCAGCATTTTACTCATTTCTGTAAAAGAAATTAAAACTAAATTAAAGTGTTATTTTTAGATTTAGATTATTATTTAACATTTCCATTTAAAAACATTTCACCGGGCCTTCACTCTCTGCTGAACAGCCTCGTCCTGCTTTTAAAAAAGTAGCCTACGCACTTTGGAACTACAGAAAAACTAACAGAACAATGGTCAAACAAAAGGAAGATGGAAACACTGAAATTCTCAAAAAGGGAAGCCTATGGAATATGGATCACTGTTAAAAAACATCACGGAAAAAGGTCATAAAAGAATCAATAAGAACTTAAATCTGAATCAATACGCACAGAAAATAATCTGCTCAAAATTCATCACAATGACTCATTTTACAAAAAACTTCCTGCAGTTAGACGTCTGGGTTCATTTACATCTTATCGTCTGTTCTGTACTCTTATTGTTCTGCATTTAATATTATATGGAATATACATAAAATATTTCATGTAGTCAGGCGTCATCAGTTTACTCAACAATAGAGAAGAGGTCTCTTCAGGTAAAAGGCTGGGAACTGCTGCTTCAAGGAAAAGAACAACTGTAATTCCACACTTTGTAAATACAAGTTAAAGTCCTGAGTTCAAAACCTCACCTAAGTAAAAGTGTGTGTTATCAGTAAAATGAACTTAAAGTACAAAAAGTAAAAGAAGAAAGTCAGTGTTTTCCTGTTCAACATGATGTTTGTGGATTAATATTCCTGCTGTGATCCGTCTTACCGTCCCTGTACCTGCAGCACCAGGTTAAAGCCGTAAGAGTCCAGGTGACACGGCGTGTTGGCCCCCGCTGTGCCGATCCATAAGGTGCTCTCCCTGCCAGTACGCCCCTCAAAACCAAACTCAGACCACTTTACATCCTGTAAAACACACACACACACACACACACACACCACGTTCAAATGACAATTATCAATCCAACATAATGTGAAAATATAAATACCAGTCTGACTTTTTAAATTACACATCAGCGTTCCTTTTGTCCGCGATAACGATGTGACACAGAGACAAGTCTCACATCCTCACAACTGTCACAACTCGGCTATAAGCTCACCGACGTACCCCCACCTCATCACTGCGCTCACAGGGCCTATTATAGGTGACCAATGGAGGCGTCTGTGTGGAGAAACCAAGCTACAATATTTGTCATCTTTCAAGGGAAACTGGTCTGTCAATCACATCCTGTCAGAGCACAAAGGTGCAGCGATCACGACGGCATCCTGAATAATGAAGTCATTACCATACATGCAGGCAGCTGTAAATGACAGACTGGTCAATCTTGCCTTCAGGCAGGCTTTTTCCTCGGCGCCATTTATCCTGTAAAAAGCCCGTGTCTGCCCGTCTCAAAGGCATGAATGTCAGCTGCTAATAATTGCAGGTGGATGCCCAATAAAAATTTATCACGGAGATAAAAATGAAATGAATGCGTGGTGGCTTGAGAAAGGATGGCACTTTTATGTCTTTACCTAGCGGAGGACGAGAATAGAAACTAATATAAAGTCGTTATGGGCGAAAGCTTCACATTTTAATTGAAAATGTCAAAACAAGAGAAAACAATGTGAGAATATAAATGAGCATCCTGGAAAAAAAACACTATAAAAGAATATTTCAATTTGTATTATTTTCCATTTAATGTTTAATTTGCTGATAAGTTGAAGCTATGCGACGACATTAGAAGGCAACAGCATGAATTATGTCTGAAATATGTTTATTATCATCTTACAGGGAAGTTGGCGTTAAAGTTTCTTGACTTTGACTCTGAGTGATGTCATACTTCTGGATCATGTATTAATCTGAGTCATACATGATGTATACACTCCCAGTTACGTGGTTTGTGTGATTGTGAAATGACTGACATACTGGCAACATATCTGAACGTGGGTGGTGCTCATCCCACCTGCGGGGCTGAAAACTGAAGCAGACGTGGAAGTGACAAAAACTGCAGTCCCTCCGAGAAATCAGACTTTCAGTTTTTCCAAGTACATTTTGCTTTCATGGTTTTAACCCTGTTTTTCTCCAGCTAAAATGAGCAACATCACAGTAACACACAGCTGTAAATACACCATGTTAACCAAGCTAGCAGCTAGCGTCGGGGTTAGCTCCACCCTCTCTTTCAAATATGGTCACTTGTGGCTCCAAAATGGTTAAAATGCCAAAGTCAAGGTATCAAAACAGGAGTTCATGGCTGCACCTATTATTTTATACAGTTTATGGTGAACACCCAGGTTCAGATATGTGACTGCAGCAGAATTATATTTCATAGTACGCACAAGAGTTACCCTCCTTTAACATCTCGGTTCCCACACACACATGTACACAGTCTACTCAGCAAGCAAGAGACAGATTGATTTTTTTGTTGACGTTATTGATGCCACCATAAAACTCTGATTGGCCTACAACATACATTTCAATGGGCTACATTATACGGTACAATTATATACTGTATCTGTGTGTCAGTTCAGGGCTGCAGCATTTGAAGACTGATGGCGTCACATCGGCGCGACCAGGGCCGTCCCATTTCAAAATCTCATTCAAATGCTGCTGAGCAATGCAGCCTTCTTTCCCAGGATTTGGAGGATGCAAAGATGAATCCTTCATGGCCCAGCCTATCCCAAGATGCATTGCGTGCCAGTAATGATTATATACTTAGTTAACTAACAGCTGTTAACTAGCTAACGGTTAACTGTTGTTAACATTACTATCAGCTAAAAGTACACAGCTTAAACAATCTTTGGGTCCATGATTTAGGGCTAACTAACTTACTAGCTTACTCCATCTTTTGTCAAGCGCAGCTGGTTGCTAGGTTACAGGAACACCAAAGGGTCAGAGCGAGAAAAACTGGTGATGCAACCAGGAAATCCTGCACAGACCAGACCGTCCCATTTCAGGGAGTTTTCAATTTGTCTGATGCGGTCTTCAAAGAACGGAGCTGACGTCAACCGCGAAGGCCGCGTCCTTCAAAGGCTGCAGCCCCTGAACTGAGACACAGCTTGTATTGAATATAGAGAGACACACGTGCAGTAACAGCTGGCGTTAAAGGGACAGTTCTCTCACCTGTAGAGCTGTTTATCAGTCGAGATAGTTTTGATGTGAGCTGCACAATCTAGACTGACTACTTTGATTCGAGGGTGAACTGTCACTTTAAGTCGTCAAACTTTCTTCACCACAGGCCCAAAATTTCAGGAGCTTTCATCTTGTGACAGAATCACTTAAAACACAATTCAATGACTGGTCGGTCAGAAAAAACTGTTGGCTCGACCTGAATCATCTCTTGCTAATTAACACCTCTCATGCAGACCTGCTGTAATGTTTCCATAATTAAACTACCGATGAAAAGCTGTGTGCTTTTCAAAAAGCCTTCTGGTTACTGTGATTGACTCAGACATCTGAGGTGGTAATTAACCATCACCGATCTCCCATTGTTTAAACATGTCTGTGGAATGTTATTTCAGGAACCGTTATAAAAGTGACCTGACATTTTAATGTTAATTTAATGTTCGCAGCGGGCTGATTACCTCAAACATGGAAGGCTGGTCTTGAAATAACATGGCGATGTATTTGTAGTCAGCGTAGGCCCAGTACTGTGAGCGGGGGTATTTAAAGAAAGGTCCTACGTCTGCCTCGGCCTGGTCCTGCGTCCAGCTGAGAAACTGCTGCAGTCTGGCCTCCACGTAGGAGCACTGGGTCTCAAACAAAGGTGCTGAGAGAATAAAAGAAAAGTACAAGGCAGAGAGTAGTCACTGGAAAATTATGATAAAGTTTCTGTAAAACAATTTCTATGCTAAAAAGAAACCCAATTCATAAAGCAGGATTCGTGCTCGATGCATCATCACGGAGGCATGGCATTTTATTTTACACACTTTTATGAGAAAAATAAATCACAGTTGTAGCGATTTACTCGAGCGTTTGTTTTAGTAAACAAAGTGTGTCTATGGCTGAATGATGGCATTTAGAAGCGGTCGTGAGCGATGCCCTCCTGTCGGCTGTTGCAACTGGAAAAAATGATTTAGAAATCTAATTAGCGAGCTTTTATCAGAGGATGTGCTCTCTGTGATTCATCACAGGGGGAGTCACTGCTGCAGCCGTGTTAGAGCCACACAGACGCCAAAACACACCAGATGCTCAAAGACAAAAACCCGATGTGTGTGTTTTTTCTTCTGCTTATGTGGCAGTTTAAATCAGATCATTAAACAGCCTCTGATCCTTCATTAGGTCACACTAACTGCAGTCTAATCTGTAAATGATCACGTGTCAGAGGATGAACTGCACACGCCTGCAGGCATTCATTAGGTACTGACTAAATGTTAGGTGAAAGTCGATAACTACCACATGTGCATTAATGTGATCAAAAACAGAAAAGCTTATAAAAATACCACACTGAAATTGATAAATGATCAATTATGCAGGAACTTTTGAATGGAAAAGAAAATGGCTGCTGTTGCCAATAGCAGAGTGCTTTCTTTGGCAGGAGCGATTTGGATTAATGTCTCAGAGTGGAGTGGAAAGTTTGTTTAAGGAACTACAGCGAGTCCTCAATCATGTTTGTTTGGAGAAATGTTTCATGTACTAATGTATCAGAAAGTTAACCCTAACCCTGCTCAACCGTTTCATAGAGAACATTTTCAGTCACTATATCTTAATGAAAAACAAGGTGAACTCAACACAACCTGACTGAGATATCTGTATTCTTAGTGTAGACGTTACAGGGTTAAACTACTTCAGGACACTAATAACAGCAAAAGCTTAAGACTTTAACAAATGTGTAAATGCAGAAGTAGAAATGAATCTAAATGTAACAAGACCTTGTTTTTTCTTATTTACATATATATTGCTCTGATTTCAAAGTTTTCTTATAAAATGTATACATATGTATATTTATTGTATTCTATTATATTTATATCTTACTATACAGAGTGCTGCAGGAATGAGTCCTAGAATCTGGAAATGAATTAGCATTTTAGCACCTCCTGTTCCATCGTCTTGAAGTCAGTGGGTTTTTTGTTGGATGCCTGAAATAAGGTCCATTGTTAACACAAGCTTCAAGGGATAGTGCACCCAAAAATGAAAATGCAGCCATTATCTACTCACCCATATGCCGAGGGAGGCTCAGGTGAAGTTTTAGAGTCCTCACATCACTTGCAGAGATCCAAGGGGAGAGGAGGTAGCAACACAACTCCACCTAATGGAGGCTGACGGCGCTCACGTGTGTGAGCATGCCATGAGACATGGGCACCGTGTTCATGTGTGTTCACATGCTTTCGCTGGTCTCTCGCGCTAGTGCACACACGTGAGCGTGGTGCCCAGAGAGGCAGTCAGAGCTACAGGCTACAATGAGGCTAAAAACAGAGTTCAAATGAGGTTTTTCCAAACAACTTTTTATGTCGGGGCTTCAGGACACTTGGATCACTACGGACGAGCAGTATGGAGATATTTTGTGGTTTCAATGATGTGTTTTTGGACGTTTGAATCTGGGGCGCCGTCAGCCTCCATTAGGTGGAGTTGTGTTGCTACCTCCTCTCCCCTTGGATCTCTGCAAGTGATGTGAGGACTCTAAAACTTCACCTGAGCCTCCATCGGCATATGGGTGAGTAGATAATGGCTGGATTTTCATTTTTGGGTGCACTATCCCTTTAAGACATTTTCACGTTTTTTTTTTCATGGCCAACATGACATTAAATACACCAGTAAATACTACATTCATTAATTTTTAAGCTTTAATATGTCTTTAAAAAGGCGGTTTGGTCCATCACCACACAACGTTGTGTCAAGTGGCGAAATGAGACAACAGGACGTCATCACGGTGAACCGTTCAAACGTGGCTTTACAGCCTTGTTGTGGTTTAGTTTGTTTACAGTCCAACATTAGTCTACGACCTTATTTATTGCAAATCCATTGGAAAAATCCCGCTGACTTTTTGTCGAGGAATTTAGGGTGATATTAACTTCCAGGCTGTCCTACAAATAAATGTCAACCTGCACCACTGTAGTAATCGCTGGGAGTTTCTTACTGGGTCACCTGAATTGGATCTCATTGGTCGTGATGGGTGACAATAAACATGTAGATATTTCTGATCTGCTTGCTAGTGTCCAGTGTGTATCAGGTCGGCCTACTGAACTCCCAAATGCTAATTAAATCCCCAACTTTTGCCACCAGCTGTCATCATAGTGTGCTGCTCATGCTGGCTGCTATGGTGAGTGATCGAGGACTGATTCAACTGACGTCAAGTGGAAACCTCTGCCAGCCAAGGCCAATGCTGCATTCATGTGCACCTCAGATTATAGTTCTTCCGACTTCGGTGTGTTCATGAGCTTTAAGTTGTAATGTGGAAACAACATGAACACTACGAAGACGATATGTTGCATATCATTGCTCAGAGTGTTTAAACATGTCGATAAGGAAGAGCAAAGGAAACGGACCAGGTGAGCCATGAAATATGTTCTTGTTGAGATTATTCCCACACCACCTGAATGTAGCACAAGGCTGTGGAGGTTAATGGGGCGTCGGGTACTTTCCCCTCAAAGAAGGACAGATTGTTGGTCAGTGACATTTCTGTAACACTGTATGGAGCTTACACAGCCATCTACATACAAGTGGGACAGTTTTGTGAGGTGGGCAGCTCTACCTGTCTATGTGCATGTACTATAACAGAGTGTCACTGAGAAACTGACTCATCTGTCTGAACTCATCTGTTCTTACTGTTTGTCTCCTCTTTCCTCCCGAGTCTGAATCTGATGAGTTTGTCACCCAGACAGTCGGACAGGTGCTCTGCAGTCCAGCGGAGAACAGGCCAGCCACCGGTCATGTTCATGAAGACTGCAGGCTGCTGCAGATGATGCAGGATCCTCTGGATCTCCTCTGGGCTGAAGGCTTTCATGGTAGCCATGTTCTGTAGGACACACCGACAGTGGGTTACAACACTGAGGATGTAGATACAGATTAGCTGATAATCAACTGGTGTTTAAGTTGTTTAGTCACCAGTCACACACACTGTCACATATGTCTTATCTTCTGTAGAATAAAAGTGAACAAGACTGTGTATATTTTTACAACTCTACAGTGTGCTTGTTCCTCCCTCTGTGCTCCGTCAGTTCATGAACAACATTATAAAAACACAATTATCAATTATCCATATCAATCAGGAACCTGGGGGACATTTAAGGACAAGAGGAAACCCGAGCTTCCTTATTTTGTAGCATGCATGTACTACACATGACACTACATGTTATATTAATGTGAAGTCTCAACATCTGTCACAATGCATCACATTATTAACATACATTTTGGACGATCATGTCTGTACATTACACTGTGAACCTTTGCACACATTCCTTAGAAAATATTACTGCACAAAACTGTTCAGCTTTTAATTTTAAAACAGATATTTTGTCCATATGTTTCAACAATGTTGTTACATATTGATGTTGTCATTTATTTTATTTACGCTTCTTGACTGTTTGTTTGCAGTACTCGCTTTTAACTTTAATTTTATCAACTATTATTATTTCCACTACTTCTAATCTCTCAGCAGCTGTTCTGCCTGAGGTCCACACCAAACATAATGCTCTATACAAAAAAACACCACCACAACAACAACATACAAAACACAATACAACACCACACAGGACCTAGCTAAACGAAGGTCTTCTATGGAGATATAAAATGAAAGATATCCATTACTGAGTTGTAGTTACTGAGCAGACCATGACTAATTATGAATCAAAATAGCTCCTACAAAAATTATCATGATATTTCTAAATAGCAGCCAATTGAAATGTCAAACTTTGAATGGGCATATCTCATGCCCTGTATGTCGTAGAGACATGAAACTTTGCACAGAGATGCCTCTCCTCATGAGGAACACATTTGCCTCAAGAACCCATAACTTCCGCTTATATAGATTTTCCGCCATTTTAAATTTTTTGAAAAACACTTCAAATGGATCTCTTCCTAGGAAGTTTGAGCGATCTGCATGAAACTGGGTGAACATAATCTAGGGACCAATATCTAAAGTTCCCTCTTGGCAAAAGTTGGAAAACTTACTAAAACTGAGCTTCTATAAGGCAATGAATATTGCGGAGGGCGTGGCTCATCACATAAAGGTGTATAACATCTCAAGGGTTTCACCCATCACCACGCAACTTTGTAGGCATATGACCACACATAATCTGAGGGGACCCCTCCATTATTGACCCCATCAAACAAAATGGGGGCGCTAGGGAGATAATTTCTTATCTAGGCCTAACCGCCATATGGATTTTTACTAAACTTGGTAGATATGTAGAACAGGACGCCTCAAGGTGACTGGAGAAATTTAACTCTAATTGGCAACTGGGTGGCGCTATAACAACAGAAAAATGCTTCAAAATGGCTAAAATGCGACCGATCGCTGTGGCCCCCCTGTGGACCAATGTTGGGGTTGTTTTCTAATGTTTGGTATGACTAAGTCATGGTATGGTATGCTGCTGCAACAAGGGCTAGCTGCACCTTTCCCATGTGAACTACCAGTGTGCCTGACTTTTAAGTCAATACAATATATAAACACTTTAACTATCTGCCTTTCAACGTGCTGCCTCAACTACTAATGTACAGTTATAGCCCACTAACTATCCCACTATTGGCAATGGTACTACTGTACTTTCAGTAAAGCAATCGTACTATCAACTTCACAAACACTCTGTCTGAATACATTGCTCTTCTTAATGGCTTCAGTTGACTATTTAATCTGCGATTTCCTATGACCTGTATCCCAAACACACACCATGTGAAACTGTACGTGGGTATGGACTAGTTTCCATTACAGCATCATCATCGATGTAGTAACACACACTGACATTAGATAATAAAACATATAATAAACTATTAATACCCAGTGTAGTGTTTATGATATAAGATCCTCCAGATTGTATATTACACTTTATAAAATCATTTAGTTATTAGCTATATGTCATTAGATGAGGAGTGCTGTTTTTTTTAAATATTTTATATACCACATTGTACTTTATCACACTATACTATGTTATACTGTCTTATCACTTCATTTATTATATTTAATTTTCATTTTGGTACATTATTATAGTGGATACTAATTGTCAGTACAGTATTTATTATCCTGGTGTATGTTGTTTACGTGATACAGGCCCCGGCTGACATCATCCACACTCACTTTGTTCTGACATGCTCTTGTACAACTCATATTTTTACCTCTACTCTTATATTAGCTGTAGCTCTGATTTTAGTTGTTCATGTTTCTTTCCCCTCTCTTATTTCTGTCGTTCCACAAAAGGGTTATCTTGTGTGTGTGTGTGTGTGTGTGTGTGTGTTTTCAAGTTATGTTCAGCTGATCTTGCTGATACTTTAATTCTTTTACTTCGCATTTATACTTCCGGTCGTCAGCTAACGTTAGCTTTACGTGACGTAATGAGCAACATTACGTAGTTTTGAGTGAGGAACTCTGCTTATTATCAAACATTCAGAAAGAACAAAGTAAACTTCTGCTCCTACAGAGTCTTTTCAGTGTCAGAGAATCAGCACTGATAACTGTATGTGTCCCAGCGATGCTGTTAGCTTGACTCCGTCTATGAGGGCTGTGTTAGCTAGTGACCAGCTAGTGTCCCAGGACGGCTAATGTTAGCTAGCTTCGCGGAAAGTCAGAAGTCTTCTGACAAAAACAACTCACCTTTCACTACACGTGCAGCTGAGCTCCAGGCGGAAGTAAACAAACCTCACATGACTTTTCCGCCTTCTTTATTCAACTGCAACGCCTCACTGTGAATCTCCGCCATTTTGGCTCCGCGGCCGCTGCAACAGCTCCACTGAAGCGAACGCAACGGGCGAGCCAAGATGGCGGCTCAGTAGCTACAGTTTCCACTACCGCTAACTATTTCCGTTCAGACATGCGCAGTAAAGTTAGGTGACAGAAACAGAGGCTGTCGGCAGTTTTTGTTTGTGTGGTCGACACGGAGGCGTCCATTTGCCGTTAGAACCGGATCTTTTACCAGGACCGACCGACAGATAGCTGCTATGGGTGCCGGCTCGAGCACCGAGGCCGAGAGGGAGCCGCTCCTCGTCCCGCCTCACGCGGAGCCCAGCAGCCCGCCAGTAAACAGCAGGGTGTACGGGAGAAGATGGCTGGTTCTGACCCTGTTCTCCCTGCTGGGACTCATGCAGGGGATGGTGTGGAACTTCTGGGGCCCCATCCAGAACTCGGCCGTCCACGCCTTCGGCTTCACCAAGTCGGACATCGCGGTTCTGGTGCTGTGGGGCCCGGTGGGCTTCGTGCCGTGGCTGCTGTTCATGTGGTTAATGGATAAGAAAGGTGAGCTCTTCTTCTTTGGTACACCGTGTCCTATCTGACATGATGATGCTTGTGTCACCCGCTGCTCTCCTCAGAGACACTGTCGGCCTCTGTCAGGTCTCAAACACACGGTACATCGACATGTGATGGCTGAAGCTCTCACAGAGAAGTGTTGTCTCTTATCACATCAGTCATGTCCGGTGTCACTCAGTGTTCTGTTGTCTCAGCCTGAGCAGAGATATTTAATCACAGCACAAGATGTGGGCCCTGTTCATGTCACCTTAATGTGTTTGAACAGCTGGTGTCAAACATGGTGACCTCAGGAAGGCTCACACACTTGAACAGTGTCATCAGTGATGGAATGTAGGTCAACATTAACTGAGGCAGCTCTCTGTCTTACGGACATAAAGATATCTAATAAGATATAATGTGATTGGCTCCAAATGAAACTACCCTACAGTGTGTTTAAGTGCAACTGAAATAATCTGTCCAATTAATTAATGAACAGATTTGCAGAAGATTGATTGGCAGCTGCTTTGATAAATGTTAAAGTCATATTTTATGGAAAACACAGTGGCACCGTCCCAACTTCACAAACGTGATCATTTGTTGCTTTTGATTTTTTAATTATTTGAATATTTGTCGTGTGTGTGTAGTAATTTTGAGCCATTAATGGTCCGGTTGGTAACATTTATGGGGTTTAATGGCATCTAGTGGTGAGGACTGCAAATTGCAACCAGCTGAAACTTCCCCTAATTAGAAATGACCTTTCACTAAGTCCCGCCCACAGATGCAGACTGACCATCATAGCGTAGCATCAGGCGCTCAGACCAGCGTCCGACAACAACACAGCTGTGCTCCATTGACTCTGATGCAGTTGTTTCATATTTCATACATTTCCAGGCGGGTTTGGGGATTTGGAGCTAAATGTTGTGCCTGGGACACATCATGTAATAATGATACTCGTTACCTGGAGAGGTTGGAATAGAGATGCACCGATCCAGCTTTTTCAGTTTCGATACCGATCCCGATGCTGTGGCTTTGAGTATCAGCCGATACCTGATACCGATCCAATACCATGGTTGACCTAAAAAGCTATATACCTTTACATGTAGAACAGAAAAGACTAGAGGCATCAGGCATTGATGACTACACAGTTCTTTATTAAGGTAAAATGAAACAAGATGAAACAGATTAATGCAACGACAAACTATTTATTTTTAACAAAAATAAACAATAGTGCAACAGCAGTTGAAATAGTGTGAAATACCTCCACACAACAGATTCTCTCCTTCGCTTCATGACGTATGTCACTGAATGTATACACATGCTGCTTTTTAATGATTAAAACACTGAGTAAATATCGACCTGCTGCACAGGAACCAGTGAAGGGAAGCAGAGGAACTCTGCTGATGTTGAACCAGCTGTGTGGCATCACAGTAGCCCCTTTTACACTGCCAGGTTTTCAGTGAATGTTGGGCCGTTTTGCCAGCAAGCTGTGAGCGTTTAGACACACAGAGCTGGATTGGCGAGTTGATCCAAGGTGCCCAATTTTCCACCTCGTAGGGTAGACATATTGGTGGAACCCTTTTGGTTTAAACAGACCGAGGCGGCCTTCTGCAACAGGAGGAGCTGTTGATGACTTGTGGGAGGAGCTGTTGATGACTTGTGGGAGGAGCTGTTGATGACGCCGCACGTGCGAGCCACTGGTGGTGGATAAACAGGAAACAGCTGACAGCAGGAATTAGCGAGCAGCTAGTAGCAAGAGGGAAACACAACCCTGACAGACACTGTAAAGATGAGCAACTGGGGAGACAAGGAATTGCGCGCCCTCCTTGTCCTCGCAAACGAAGAGGCCATTAACCGTCAGATGACGGGGACGGTGAAGGACGAGCCGACTTACGAGAGAATCACCGAAGGACTGACCAGCCGCGGCTTCCCTCCCACGTCACTGTTTACGTCACACGCTGAGCTACACGTTTTGTTACTTGCTCACGCCCCCCATTGCCCCGAAAAAGGCACATTCTGTATAAACAAAAGTAGGTAGGCAGCATTTTGCTGCACTCCCTGATTTTGTTTTTATACTGCCACACAATTCCTATCTAAAAAGGGCTTGTGTGTGCAGATGAACGGTGTTTGGCTTTGCCTGGAGATCCCTGCCGTCCGGATGCTGGCGAGGAGGGGAAGCCAAACACCGTTCATCTGCACACACTGCGATGACACACAGCTGCAGTGTAACGTGTGCTCACCTAATTTCTGATCCAGATGTCCAGAAGGTTTTCACCGGGGGCGTAAATGTCTGTAGAAGTCTCTAACTGTCCAAAACAAACAGACACTGCTAAGTTCAGTGGTCGACATGAAAAACTTCTTCTTGGTTGAAAAAAAAACACTTTAGTGCCTTAAAACCTGCTGGAAACAGTAACGTGTTGTTTATAACAATTATTTGTGTTGTGTGTTGGTCTGTCACAGTTCTCTGCAGCTTGGCAGGTGCTGAGGTGACTCATTAAAGTCAGCTCATATACTGAGTCACTTTAGTAATGTTGACATGATACGTGTGAAACGTACAGCTGTAACATATTTGTGGTTTGCAGACACGTACGTTAACATTTTCTCCTGGCGACTGCCCTGAATTGACAAAACATTGGCAGTAACATCAGTTTCTGAAATGAGCATCACTTTGTGCCGAAGGGATTTCCAGTGTCCGCAGCACCAGAGTTGAACTCATGTGGGAGTTCAAAGTGCTGATGTTCTGAGGGCTTTTAAGACTTCTCCCTCTCAACATGGTTCAAAATCACAATAGTCTTAAAGCCTCAGAACATTCTGTGCCGTGCCGCTGAAGAGCTCTTGACTTGAGCCACTGACTCAGACGATGCTTTACCTAACCAGTTCCTTTGCATCACCTGACTGACACGTAGTGATTACTGCGGCCGCACTGTCAGGTGACAACAACAGTAACAACACAGTGACAACATCAGCGTCTCCAGGCAGCTCAAGAATTAAAGACCACAAGTTATATCATGCCAGGGAGTTACTCAACTTATCTTGTGATCCTGAATCACCAGCATTCAGTGGTGTTTGGGGTTGTGTTTGCCGTGTTTAACCCTTTGAAACCTGGAGTGACGTCACTGTTCTCGTGCTGTTTACAGACGCCTTTTACAAGTATGTACACCTTTGAACCCTGAGCTCTGTCAAAAACACGGGGGGAAAGGCAGTGAGATACATGGTAAGAAATGTCCCACAAATTGCAAAAAAATTAGAAAAATATTTTTTTAAAAAATTGGGGGAAAAAGAAAAAAGCTTGAAAAAATATTATTATAATTATTATTATTACACTTTAAAATTCTGTTACTGAATTCCAGGTCATTTCCTTGTTTGTTTGTTTTTAACTTTATTTTTTAACTAATTTCTTTCAAACTTTTTGGGTCATTCCTTCTTTCATTGCTCGCTGCCGTCTCCCCATGTTTCTACAAGAAATCAATCCAGTTTTCTCAGGTGTCAGAGGGTTAAAACAAAGTGTGTCACATCATATCTGCTGCCCTCAGTGAGTGTTATATACGCCTCACTGACTCTGTAAAGTAAAATAATCCCGTCACATCTGTAAAGTTAATGCTCAACTTTATGCTCACAGCTGATTCTGCCTCAGAGTCACATCTCAGGTCAGAGCAGCTCTCACAAATTGTGTTAAACAATGCTGTGACCTTGTTATAAAGGGCCCTACATGACCTGCTGAGGCTGCAACACGCTCCACTGTTGTCTGTGTACAACACAAGCTGTCAGTCTAACCTGCCAGAGGGGGAAACGCTCCCCAAAGGCAGAGACTGTTGATAATCAACAACACAGAAGTTTCCGTGCAGTAGAGTCTTAAGATCAGGTCATATGTGGTGCAGTCATGGCGTAGTGAGTCTACATGATGTGCTCAGGGTGTGACAGGCGTATGCTGATGTTGCAGAATGTGTCAGAGAGCTGATCCACACATTTAAGTGTGAAGTTGTAAAGCTTGTAAGTCCTGCTTGCAGCAGCCGGCCTCCAGGGCGTCTCTGAAATACACACTGCTGTTTGAAAGTTTAAAATCTCCTGCCACAAAAACTCGGTCCAGTCAGACCGCTGAGAGGACTGCGTTTTATTTTTTAAATGGTCTTTGATGCTTTTAGGTTGCAGAAAGTCATCTTTATAAATATTTCATGTGAAAGGTTTGTTTGTACACAGAGAACAAAACTCTGAACAGTGGTTCGACCAGAAAGAGACGGAGACTCCTCTGAGCAACAGCTGAGTAAGAGCACAAGAAAGAAACAGGTCCATGTTTGAGTGACCACGTTTATTAATGCCTGAGGGGAAATTCAATTTTTTCAGTGCACACACACACACGCACGAACAGGACCTATACATACATTAAAGGGAAAGATATCAGAGCAAGGGAAGGGATGCACGATGTTGGACTTTTTGCTGACATGCTGATATGTAACAACTCATTTGGCCGATAATCAGTGCCGATATATATCCACTTATTTTCCACCTAGTGTCAGTGATCATCATCAAGTCTCTTCTGTAGTGAGTTAACATCATATTATACACACAGACTCTGATGGTGACGGCCCACCAGCAGATGGAGACATGAAATACTGTTCAGTGTCTGTAATATTCAGTCATTGCGATATAAGTCAATACCGGTGACGTGACGATATTATTGTGATTCCCAAAGCGAGGTGCCTGCCTTGGACAGGCACTCTGAGCAGTTGGGCGACCTGGCACCTCTCCAGCCAACAGTCCACGCTTCATATTTGGGACTTTAACTGGTGACCCTCTGGTTCCCAACCCAAGTCCCTATGTACTGAGCCACTGCCGCCCCACATGGCTACAGAACACAGACGTTTGACTAATATTTCTGTTCACATGCAGCTGTGCATACTCTGATTTATGTGCCATAACATTGTTCATCACATCAAAATATAGGAAAGTGGAACAGCTGGAGTCGCCTGTCGTTTTGCTTGTTTGCATCAAAATAAGATTATGTCAAAGTTTTC